GGTGCTTGGGAATTATTGTGTTAGCATCACAGATATAGCAGAGGATCACAACATCTTTTATGGATCAACTTAACATATTTTAGTTAATGTTTTAGGCATGAAGAGTTGAGAGAGAATGCTAGACGAGTACCAAAATACCTAAATCTTTTATAAAAATGAATCCATTAGAGGTCGCATAGGAAATGCTTGACAACATAGATGAGAACCCTACATTCATCAAATGCATCATTAATGATGACGAGACGTGCGTTTATCTGGCAAAACTATCCAACAATCTAGGGAATGGCGCTCCAAAAATAAGCCGAAACCGAAAAAACCAAAATTCGATGAAAAATCTATTTAATTTGGCATACTTGTATTGGCTCAGGATTCTATTTTGAAGGCATTGATAAAGATTTGTATTAAAATACGTGAAAATATAATTTTTTGTGAGTCCGGGCAAATTTGATCAGATGGTATATTTTTTTGATTTCCTTCATGATTCAGTGGGGTAATTTGAATTTAAGAGTTACTTGAGCTAATTATGAAAACCAATACAATGTGTTATATACATTATCAGCGTATGCCGAAGACTAAATAGCTCAAGATTTGTAGAAGCATCATTTTAATCTTTCAATTTGAAATTTAATACTCAGAAGGTTCCGGTAGAAGGAAATAAGAGCAATAAGAGTCCAATAGTTCATTCTAATAATAGCTAACCGAGCCCATCAAAAAATGTCTTGTCGAGACGCTCAGTTTTATCACCCCTTATCTTTACACGATACGTAGCAAGTTTTGTAATGACAAACACAAATTCTAGTGTTTACCCACACAACACCGCTCATCCCTCTGTGTATATTTAAACTCAAGACAAAGCTGCAACGTTACTTCTTAAATGAATATACGACATTAGTGTGCCCGTCAGTTGGTTAAAGTGCCCGTTGCGCACACTAGGGAAATTGAGATTAAGTGCAGTGACTAAGTGTGTTTGCCTCTCCAACAACAATAGAAAGGCACAATATACACACGTGCATATTACCACAGTCGACAGACAGACATATTTGCTTGCCCTTACGGCCATGGTAGTACATCGTACTAAAATCAATTGAGCCATCTGCCAGACGTTGCACCTGTTCGGAAGCCACCAGCCATAAAAACCATACGTACAAGCATATGTGTGTGTGTGCTAACATTCATATGTGTATTTTGTTGCTATTGTCTACCTGAAGTTAAGTGTTTCCCTCACTTTGCCCTCGCTTTCGCTCATAGTGATGAGCACTTGGGGAATACCGTTTCAGCCCGATGACTGAGTAAGTGTCGTTACCTTTCAGTGCAAATACCCATCGCTCTTCGCATACGCATTCCTCTCGTTGAAATTTTGTTGCTGAATATGTGACGATTTTATGTCAGTGTCGAGCATCTTGTTGCTTCCAGTGTCAACTTAATTGTGTTCGTTAGCGTTATTGTTGTAAGTTAATTTTTGTACGATGGTTGTTTATGCTTACCAACGACAAGTTGATATGCTAACCCAAACATTTGTATACACCGCCGAGAAGACCCATATCCTTTGGCATTGCAAATCTGTGTTTGACATTTAATTCGTTGTCAACCAGTTAATTAAGTCAATTAAAAAATATTGGCATTCTCAACGTGTTGGGATAAGCGTGAAAGCCACTCTATTCAATTGTGTACATCAAATGAAATTAACCGTAAAAATTGCCCGTATTTGTGTGTGTGTGTGAGTATGCGCGTGGTAATGTATGTATTTAATGGGGGCATTGTGTCTGGTTAATAACTTTTCCCAGCGCATGTGTGTTGGGTGTTTAATTCTTATTTCGACGCGTCTATATCTCGAGTCTATGTATTTTGTCTGTGTGTGTGTAGAAATGCTTTGCTTTGTTTTGTATCCGAGTGTGTGTCTGTCTACAACTGTACAATATGTTATGCATATGCTACTGACAATTCTAATTAATTTTTATTTTATTTGTAGTTGTTATTTCTTTTATCTGTTGCTCGTAAATTTTTTATAACCACAGGGATTAAGTGGTGTCATTTTCCAGTGAATTTGTGCTTTTCTTTCTCAGTAAAGCATGTGGCTTAAATTGAGATGATAATCTAATAAAATGGTTAATGAAATTATTGTGCGTTTAAATTAAATAAAATGTTCCGCTGTCATTCTAGGATTTCTGGGAGCTATAAGCTTATCATTTAAATTCTTAATCATGTCTTAGACAGATTAAATACCAGTGTAAATTATATTTAATTGCTAAAATGTGTTTTATTAGGTGGTCTTTGTTCTTATTAAGAAGAGGTGTGTGTTTGGAATTTAAACTTAATTTAAAATTTAAAGAATAAATACGCTTAAGGGAGTAGCCAGACTGGTGTCAACACCATACTTAAGTTTCATAAGCTGCTACGTCCTTACTTCAGTTGCCGAAAAGGCACATACTACTAAATGAACTCGGTACATTGATTGTACCTCATAATTGTAATGTCACATGTAGCGCGATATCTCAGCTGTTATACAAGTCAGCTGTTACATAAATTTTATACGACAACACTGAAGAATACACAATTGAGGGATAATTTCAGACAGATGGCGCCACTAGAAGTCGCGTTGTTTAAAAAGTCCGGGAACTTTTGAATTGTACCTTGTAAAAGGTATCAAGCATTGGAAATTTTATTGATTTCTTAAAGAAGTTTGAGGATTTTACCTTTTTTTAGGCACCACCACACACTTGATTGTATTTACCAACTTACCCACTTCGTATGATTCTATGTTAGTTCTTCTTGTATGGTAGCCGGATACTGGATTCGGAATAATATCCTGTAGATTCTTAGTACTGATTGGGAGAAACAGCTAGAGTCCCTAAATAAAGTCATTATAATCTCTTATAATAATAAGAACTGAATTGCATCTGTATGACAGATACATCGCTTTTAATATATATGGTTCTCCAAAAGCTCCCGGAGAAATGGTTAATGACCTTTGGAGTAATTGCACTTGAATTTCTTGGTTTTTTCGATTTTGGTTCATATTTGGAGCACCATTTTCTAAATTTTTGGAGAGTTTCGACGTCATACTCCTAAGCCCACATCTCGTTACCAATTATCATGCTTTTGATGAATGTCGTTGTTAGTTATCTCTTATGCGACCTCAACTTGTCGTCGTTTTAGCAAAAGATTTATCTCGCTTGGTGCGAGGCTTATACTACGAGTCTAGAAAAAGAAACGCTTCATACCAAATTGAGATTCCGTATTATCAATTTGATAACAACACAAGGATTTTCAAGCTGTTTCTTTAACTTTTTCGACGTTATCCTCATCAACAGAAGAGAGATAGATGGATGACTTGCATGAGGCAAGTTTTCGATGACTTCACGACCTTCACTGAATGATTTAATTGCAAACACAAAATTTCAATTGGTAGTTTACAAGGTAAACATTGCTTGACAAACCTTTCGCGTTGTAAAAAAACAGCTGTCAAACACACACTAACTGATATACAGAGATCAAACTTCTCACAAATGTTCTACCAATCTAGGAAGAAACAACTTTATCTAATCTTTTTGTCCGCGCAGTTTAACTGCAAATTTCATTTTGACTGCAACAAACCACAAGATCTATTTCTCAGTCATTTTTATTTTCAAACGAGAAGCATTAAAAGCCATTAAAAATGTCATTACGCGGTGCCAGCAGCAACACCATCAGTTTCAGTGTCTTTGATCCTTCATCGTCATCGTCGTAAGCACGAAAAACATTAAACAATAAGCAGTTAAACAAATAACAAAATTAGCAACTAAATTAAAAAGAAATTGCTGCTATTCGTTTAATGTACCGCCGTTCGCTCGCAGCAATCAAGCGAGAATAATAAAGTTGAGCTGGTCGAGTGGAAGATGCTGTAAACAATCAAACAACGCTACCCAGTGCGCCCGCTATTTAGTCGCAATGAGGTGTTTGGCAACAAAGCGAACGTTTTTCAATTCATTGAGCATCGTTTTGCGGCTCATTTAATTCTCACGCTCATTCATTGCTTTTAATTAAATTTTTAATTACTCAAACAAAAACCACTTGTCCACTTTTATGTGACTTTCTTATTTTTGTAGTAAAAAGTTGCAGAAATACATGCACTAGTTGGGTTTCTGTAAGGATTTGGGGAACTTAATCAACTACTGGAGTCAGAAATTTATAATGTTGCCTTCTGTGCTGGAATTTTTTACAAGATATCATCACGAAATTTAGCATAGTTTTTTGGCCTAGGTAACGCTACAATCTACCGAATAAATTGTTCATATCAGACGACTATATCATACAGCTGCCATGCAAACTGACCAATCAAAATTATGAAAAAGATATTTGTATGCCCTTTTACACTATAGAAAATACAAACACCTATTAAGAGTATTATAGCTTCGCTGCAGCAGAAGTTCTTGCTTTGTTTTCATATTGTGTAAATAAATCACTCATGCGTAGTAAATGTTGTTATTGTTGTAGCAATTACTGCTTCAAATTACATTTGTATCATATAACTTCACCAACCAATGTTTTTGTTGTCAATACCTATTCCACACATGCCTTCTTGACCATTACCTTTGATATCCTCACTTTTTTCCACAATCCATTAATTTGTTGGTTTTTAGTAGCACAATTGTAGCAAACAACTCTTGCCCTCAAGATCAGCAACCGTTAGCTCGGTTGCATTTAAGGAATTCTAATCGGATTTGTCATGGCAGCTCATGTTTAATTCATTCACCTTCTCATACATAGCTAGCCAAATTTATGTACATATCTACATATCTATGAATCCGTGGCTATATGCCTGCATGGTCATCTAGTTTTGCGGCGTTATTCTCTTTTGTTTCTCGCTTTTTTTTTACTATTCTTTATCCTCTTAGCTCGTCCGTTTGCTAGCCTACTCCCCTGCTCCCCTGCTCCCCTGCAACCCAGCAGCCATGCATCCTTTATGTTTTTGTGTGACGCTTGTAGTTTGTGGCAAAGAGTGGTAATTGAATTAATTTAAGTTACAGGGTTGTCCAGGATGTCGCCGGCAATAGTGAGGCAATCATTTTAGATCGTCTATCGCCCAGCACCCAGTACTCGATAGCGGTGACGGCCATTTGGCTTGGCAAAAAGTATCGCAGCAGACAGATCATATTTCGCACATTGGGTAAGTAAACTTCAATGCATGCTGCCTTCAACACATATGTACTACATGCCTACAAAATAGCTATATCTATTAGTAAATATACAAAGAAATTCGAAAGAATGGAATAAGATACTAAAATTGCGTACTTAAGTTTTTTTACCATAAGTTGTGCAATTCCCCCAGGCTTATTTACAATACAGTGGTGGATAAACAAAATATATTTTAGTATTTTATAATAAAAAATATTATAATTGATATGTTGTTCGGCAAGTTATATAAATGTATTTTATTAAAATCTGAAATGAATATAGAGATTTATATATACTTATGAAGTTTCAGTTTTTGTCCAAAGAAACATTATCCAACGTAAAAAATCTCTTTATTTTCATTGTTTACTGTGTCTAAGCCATGTTTCTTTTCCTAAGTATATGACATGGAATTTTTTTGATTTTTGCATAAAGCAAGAATACCTACAACGTACGATATTGTATTACAAAATGTTCTACTCTACATAAAATGTCGTTTTTATTAATAAAAACAACTTCCTGAAAGTTATACGCAGTAGAAATTATATATCAAATGAATCAATTATAAATTCTGTGTTGCTCATACAACGTGGTGTACTGTTTGAATACAGAACATTTAATCAATAGTTTTAACTGCTTATAACTTTTGAAGGAATATTTCTATGCAAAAAATCATTAAAGCCTTTTTGTACAGCACAAAATTCTTAGTTAAAATATCCTATCATCAAATTTGTAAATTTATTTACTTTGGAGTTAAAAAATGTAATGCAAAAGAACAAAAAATCCCATAATAAATATGATTAGGCACGATTTGAAAATAAAAAGCTTTTTTATTTTGAATAATTATATTTTACGGAAAAACTGATACTTCAGAGAGCGTCTGCAAAAACAAAAGGTACCTATGAAATAACAGGTGTCTTAATATACATATATACAAATATATATATATAATGTAAAAGCGCCGAGAGCTGAGAATACCATAGCTCAAAAAATATATGATTCCCAAACGATCACAGACATTTTAGTTGCATCCAAAATTAAACATAAACTGTTAAAATATTTAAAATACGACTTGGTTTCCACTATTTTCAATTCATCTACATACCATAGTCCTTTCCCTCAAGTCGTTTTGTTTGATATTAATAAGCGTAGACAGTTTCTGACATCTTAACGGAGGTAGTAAGGTGTGGGCGGTAATAGCCCGGTTCCACACGTGTAGATAAGCAAAAGAACTCAGAAGACATTCTACAAGAGAGAAAACTGAGGACTTGGACTGCACATAGTGCCTTTTGAATTTAAATTAAATATCAATTTCTGCTTTTTTAATAGCCAGTCCAGTTGCTTGTGGCATATTTTGACACTTGTAAAATTCTAAGAAACCACACACATATGGTCAGCCAATAAATATAACTCAAACTGAGTGCTCAATTGTCAAATAAGTTTCAAATAATATCAAATTATATATATATTTTTTTTTTAATTAACTTGAAGTTCAATAAGCACTTAAATATACAACGACGCAAGTTGAAAATGCTACGCTTTAAATAATAAGTAAAAATTGCCTAATATAAAAGTGAATAAATAAAGTAGAAATAACATAAAGCAAACGTTATTACTTTATCGAATATAAGACTGTCACATGCCTCTCTACCTCAATATTTTCGAATGCGAACTAAGATTTTAGTTGACCATCATTGTATTTTGAAACAGACAAACTTTGGTATAGAAACCTGCCGATACATATACATATAAAATATACATATATAAATACAATAGTTTATCAAATTTTATTCAAGTACATCAATAATAAAACTAATCGAATTTTTGCCTTTTTCCCAACTGTCCTATTCAATCATTCATATTTCTACTTTTCTCTCCTGCCATTTCGTTGCTCGTCGTGTATTTGTGTGTGTTTGCGACAATTGCTCATCTAACTGATTGGCACGCGAACACCAATGTCAATGTACGAAAACCAAAATGAAAACGTTACAAAAATGCGACACAATCAAAACAACGCTTTCAGATATGCCTAAGACATCGTCGCAGCAGGACTACGCGTCCGGACACACAACCGGCGCGCTGGGAAGCCAAAACAACGTTGGAAATGTAAATGCGGGGATCGCCGGAGGTGGTGTGTCTGGTGCGGCCGGTGGAAGTGGTATTAGCGTTGCTGGCACGGGGCTTATCGGCGGCAATCTAGCTAGCGCAGCGGCAGCAGCTAACGGTAACGGCACGTATGGGGACGATATAACGTCAACAGTGACGAATACAATGGCGCAACGGCCACGTGAATTGCCAACGGTAAGTGTTTGTTAAGCCGTAGAAATTTATTAGTATATGTCTAGGTATATGTGAGTGAAATTTGAAGTGTGAATCGCAGATGTGTGTTTGTTCTTACTTGATTTCATTTATTCAATTCGTGTAATATCAATTTCATAGAATTTATATAACTTTTTGTGATCTTTCCGTTTAATTGAATTGAGTTTATTGTTTCTCTCTTGTTGCACTTAGATACGCGGCGTTGAAATCGGTATAGTGCTTATCGTTTTGATGGTGTGGGCTGGCGCTATAGCACTATTCTTCAACCGTTGGGGAAAAATCCGCATGCTATTGCCCTATCAACCGGACTACAAACACGAACAGCTGAAAGTACCCGGCACCGGTGTGTGCACTGGCGCTGGCTGCAATGGCCAACACTCGCATCAGGTATGATTTGTAGGCATTTCTTTGCGCGTTCAAATACACCTTTCATGCCTTGGTTATTAGCCTCCTTATGCTGTTAAATACGAAATGAGAATTCATGCTAGTGAGTGTTTGTGCTCAATAAATGCAAATACTTGAATTTCCTATAAATTATTTATTACAAAAGTGTGGTTTCCCAAAAGCAAAAACATAATTTAAAAAAAAAAAATATTTGAAAAATATCAAAACAACATATTTTTGCATATAGTAAGGAAAAATTAATTTCAAACTTGTAGAATGTAAAGCATGCGGGTAAACAAAGTGCCACACGGCGTATACGCAACTTACATCTCATGGTGCTAACGACGTATACGCAACACAGCACTTCTGTGTTAGCGCTGGCTTTACATCTGTGTTGTGATTCATTTGGTAGTTCAGAACACCAAATAAAGTGCTGCAATATTTGAATATTTAAAGAAAAGTGTCTATGTTCGTTTGGAAGAGCAGCTTAAGTCGCGTTAAGGAAGAAATTAGGCAGTGAAGTGATCAAATTTTATGTGGCAAAGCGGTAAGAGGTTCGATGTGCGTTCTGAAAAATTGTGTTTGCAATGAAATTTGGAGTTTAACTAAATAACAGCCAAATTATATTTAATTTGAACAAGACGCAAACCAAATAGTCTACATCTTCATATTCGATATACGCTATTCTTCCATACGAACACAACTGTTAACATTCTAAACCAATGCTCCCACTTTAATGAATATAACAACATCGCAAATATATTGCTACTTGTTCACTCGTTTAGAATAAATAGCTCCAACTACCAACTTTACGTTGTGGCAACTTACATGCAAATGTGCTTAGTTTTAGTTACTACTCCATTTACTTATTTTTGTACTTCTTTTATATTGAATATAAATGTGTACATAGTCTCTTAGCAAACACTTCAACTCTCCTTTCACTTATACCCAATTGTGTTTTTTCGTATTGATGCAAAACAATAAATTCTCAACTGTTCATCAACTAAACATACTAACCAACTCACGGCTTTAACTGAAATAACATTTCTTTACTGTTGTTGTATTTTATATATTTTTAGAACCTACACCCAGATATATTCGTAAAGGTATCTACAAAATTTAATACAATTCAATTAATTTTATTACTTGCAATTTATTAATTAAACCTAAAACTGCTGACTCGTAAATATCGGCTTAGATATCAATCATGAAATATATTTAACTTCATGCCTACATACAATACACGTACATGTATACATACATATATGTAGTTAGTATACTCGCATAGTTAGTACTTCCTCTATTTGAACGGGGTGTTGAGTCTACAACCCTCAGTTGAATGCTTCCTCCCCATTTACCCTTTTTCAGCATTTTTCGCATTTGTAAACACCAAAGTATTTGAAGTTTTAGCTATTCAACGAAGTATACTTACCAACAGTCATATTTTGCTAGCTAGTTAACGAAATATTTACATAAACATACATACATATTAGGGTGGAGCGAAAAAAAATTTTTTTTTTGCTTAGCCTGGGGGTAAAATCTGTAGATTATAAAAAAAGAAAATTTTTGGAGAAAATTCGTTTTTAAAGTATATTTTCGAGTTCAAATAAAAATTTTTTGATAAGTGTTCTAGAAGCTGTGGAGAGTCCTCTTTCTGGCCAAATTAAAGTTTTCAACTTAAAAAGCATTTTTGTGGTCATTATTGGAGTTTAAAAAAAAAAGTCTTATACGACAACATGCTTTCCTTAAGCGTTAAAATAAATTTTGAGTCAAAAACCGTCACATTCGGTAATTTTTATATAAATGTAAAGAGTTTAAAACAACAATAATTTTACTCGAAATTTACTTTAAAACTGAGCCTCTAGATGTTAAGAAAAAAAAATTTTTTTTTGTCCAACATTTTTTTTTTTGACCAAAATTTTCTTTTCTTATAATCTCCAGATTGTTATTTACCCCCAGGCTAAGCAAAAAAATATAAAAAAAATTTCGCTCCACCCTAATACATATTTATATCGCTTTTATATCACAAACAATTCCAATTTTACTGCAAACCATAATTTCTGTCAATCACTCGTATATCAATAACTTGTATATTTTGCTTATTTAATTTAAAAATATATTAGAGGTTAGATCTTGGTTAAGCTTTCGAAAGCAAATATTATTCATATACTTACATACTCGTATATATATTTGCCCCCGCTATAATATTTCCAAAAAAAAAATTGAAATGATGCAAATGTGATAAATGTATTGGAATATTTACGAGGCTAAATGTTAATTGCTATTTGTGTTATAAATTACTGTAGATATTGGCGGTTTGCCAAAATTATGCAGATGTTAGCATGTTTTAGTTATACGACTACTATATAACCTATTTAAATAATCGTTTTTTATAAAGCATTCCACAGATTAATTAAATTTGCATAGGCTTGCTATATACGCTGTCAGTTCATTCACCGCATTTGTTTCAATGGCCCAATCAATTCATGACGCTTACACAGAGCGAATATTTCAATATGAGACCGAATATAAAGGTGCAGTGAGGCAAAATTTTTACTCTCTCAGCTCGGTCAGCTACGAGCAGTTTATAATAAGACAGTACAATATTGTAGTGCCCTAAAAATCGCCTTCTCATGATGACTCGCTTCAAAAAGAATTGGTGGGGCAAAAGCAAGTATGACTTATTTCACAAAAGTAACTCGTGGTGTTTTTGAAAAATGTTTCTCTCAAATTTGCTTCATCATGGCTAGCTTAAAGAAAAAGTGAAGCACCAGTTATTTGTATCGAATTATTCTACAATGTTTCATCGCAAGCTTGTGCGTTGGGCAAAAGGCCCTTGTCTTCACAATAGGTTTGTTTGACGGATCATTGGACCATATTTAGAGATTTAACCCTTTATATGGTTCAGTAAAAATCAGGAAGCAAATATATGCCTTATATCTTTGTCGAATATTTATCACTGGTTTGCTTCTTCAATTCTAAATGAATTTATTTCAATTAATTTATTTTCTTCCTTAAAACAGAAATTATGGTTTCAGTATTGAAAAACTAGTTCATGATAATATTAGTTATCAAACCTAACAATATTTCACAAACTTGTTTATTATATTGCAATTACATAACATATATTTTGAAATTTGCTTATGCTCAAAACAAGATATATAATGTAATAAATTCAAATTATATACCATACTTCAGTCTAAATGCATGAGTCGTGAATATTTTCATAGAGTTAATTATTACATAATACCTAACCTCAAACCCACAACATTAGATACTCACAAAGAAGCTCCTAATAATTTCTCTGACCCACTTCAGCAGATTAGGCAATTTATTTATTTACTTTCTTGGATTATAAAGTTTTATGCACAATCAACTCTTTTATAAGTACTTATAAAATTATGTGATAGAAGATTAGATAATATTTTAATATATAAGTAAACATAAATATATTACAATTGTAGCGCAATTCTTACACAATTCTAGCAATTATAGAAGTAATTATAAAATTAAGTTATACATATATGGTATTTGGTTAGTCAACATTTTGGTAGACAATATGACAGCCGCGCCTTTCCACCCAGCAAAATTGCGTAGTTATTATGTATGTACAATAGTTAATTCATTGTCCTTGCATACACAGCGTCGACACTCAAAAGCCAAAGTGTTTACATCTTTCCTCCTTTTCTTTCTTATCTCTTCTCCTCTTTCTCTCTCTTTGTTCCGGCTTTTCTGCTTATTATTCGTGCCGTTAATGTGTGTGCTCGTGTGCGCGTATGCGTGTCCACTACATTTGTATGTGTGCGTCCACTCGCTGCTGCTCACACATACACGTACATTATATAAACGCACACACACACGCTCAGTGTTTGCCGCGTTGCGAGGGTTGTGGCATCTTCGATCGCTGCTTTCAATATCCGCGACGCGAGCTGGAGCGCGATTGCGGCTGCCAGTTTGCATTGTTGCATAAGGCCGATGTGGAGAGCTAGCAACCAGCGCATGGTGATGGCGTTGCATCATCGGAAGGCTACGTCAAAGTCGATAGCATCGATAGTCCTACTGCAGCGCTGGCAACACCATTGCATAGCTGTGGCGCCATCAGTTGTCTGCGACTCGAGAATGAAGCTGCCAGAGGTGGCCCCGTTGCTAATATTCGCCATAACTTGAGCGACAGCGATTGTAGCGTTAGCGAAGCGGATGAAAATGGCGCTGTCGATGAGAACGACATTGACACAGATGGTCGAATGCAACGCGATCACCGCTCCTTGCACCACGAGCAGCAGCATCAGCAATATCATCAACAACAACAACATCAACTGCTCATACAGTCGAAATCGAAAGCGGGTGGCGGAGTCAGCGGCGGCAGCGGCGGCGGCAACGGACACAAGTTCAGGCAGAAGCGTTTCATTCAACAGCGGAGTATATTGAAAAATTCCACAGAGCGTTCAAGCAATCAGGATGAGCAGGAACTTTTGGAGGCCAAAAAGCAATTGATATTGCGGCGACGACGGCTCTTCAGCCACTACCGCCAGTACGAGCAGTGGCGTCGGCGTCAATTTAGCTACGATCCGTGCTACTATCGCGCCATACCGCTGCCAATCGGCCAGGCGTCATCCATCAACTATGCTGGCGGTTACAGCAGTCAGGGTCAGGGCGCATTCCGACGCCGCCGCCAGTACAGGCGGCAGTACTCGTGTGCCGAACGTGAGGATTCGCGCGAGAGTCGTGAGTCGTCGTCGCTGCATCGTTACAAAGGCGCAAGTATGGTGGCTAGCGAATCATTCAATACCGATAGCGCTAACTATATTAACTATGAACAACAACAAGTACAATCACATCAACGGTCAAATCAATCGCAACAGCAACAACATCAGCGTGAAGAATCAATCGAACCGTACTCAACAATGGCACGTCGCAGTGTAAGTGGGATTTTTAAGCTCTTCCTAAAGCACAACGAAAGCACTTTGGCACTCGATACTTACACGACGGCTTCTCAAGGGAGTACTTTGTTCATAGGTTGGCTGTCGGCAAGCTGCACCGCGTACAACTCTGTTTGTTTTTAGCGTTGTTTTAGTAGTTGCACTTTGTAAATAAATAAATCCACCGCTTGAAATTCCTAGCGTCGACACGAACACCAGCATCTCACTGCACCCTGTACAAAATGCAAGAGCCAACCATCTTGATGGCCAACACGAAACTTTGTTCCTTACACTACTAGTTGGCTTCAAACCCTGCTTGATTGATTATTTTCGAAATTTGTCCAATTCCGGTGACCCGAAGAGTAGCATCCGATGCGTTGTAATTGGAAGGACTAAGGATGTTTGGGTTGAGTTAAATTTGCTGTTCATCCCTAATATTTATTTCTTCTAAAAGCTTACCTAGAAAACTGTTTCTGTCATAAAGTTTTATTAGTCTTAGAGAAGTTGCTTCGCTTTTGGCTGAACTTTATTCGCTTGAACTTTTACATAATGCGCTTTGAAATTTTATCTGCTGTGAAACTGTAAATTCGCTATATCTTTTACATTTCTCTCTTATTTAAAAGTTTATTTTAACTATATTTAATTATATGCATTTAATTTTTCCTCAAAACGCTATTTCGCTATTTTCGCTTGCATTTTTCTTCCAATTTTGTTAGAGCATCCTGTATGAAATTTTTTTCTGTTCTATAGAAATTATTCCAATGTTTTGAAACTTTAGACCACTTTAAAGCTTTTATTTTGTAATCTGCTTAAGACTTTCCGCGAAGTTCACAAACAATTTTAGAGATTTTCTACCACCGCTTTTATGTTTACAAAAGCACTTTTGAAAAGCATAAAAACCAAATGATTTCAAAATAAAATTTTAGAAAAGTTATAACTGGGATATATGTTCGGAAAAATGCTGTAATAACAAGGTAGGATCAAATCAATCATATGTGCCGGTTCGACATTGTTTTGTAGACAGTGTTTAAAATCCATAGAGACAGCCATACTCTCTGGTACTGACATGTAACCAGTATTCAAATTTATTACAATTTCATATGATGCCAATATTTGAATATTGAGTTTATTTTATCAATTTGTTTGAACCCAAATTTTCATTCATAAACATGTCATAAAATTTTTATCAGTTGGTAACCTTACTCAAGTTATATTTCACCATTATAATTTGTTGCAAACATTTTTTTAAATAAACATATTTTTTTTAACCTTTTTTGTACGATATGCATATTGCAGTGTTGCTTTATCGCTTCCACTTTTGTTTCTGGTGCGTAAATTTTAGTTCTTAAATATCATACGAACTTCCTGAGTGAAGATTATTACATAAACCAGTATGTAATCTAAAATATTACTCTGATAATTTACAAGTAATTTAGTTTTTTTTCATATTAAGCAAATAAGACTTAATTGACAACATCCAGATAATATTTTTCCATTTAGAGCGAAAAAATGAAGAGCCGATTTCAGGAATTTTCAATACAAAGAGAATGTGTCTATGAGTAAAACGTTATGCAGTATGCCACCTGCCAATATTAATTAACCCAGTTATGAAATAAATTAGGTAATTTTTACCCAATTATTTCAATACCTTCATTAATTCGTATGTGAATGTGTGAAAATCCCTTATAACAGTTTATATGCATTTGTGGAGCGGCAATGGTATCCATAATATGAATATGCCCATGTCAATGGATAAATAGAGACACATTTGTGACCTGTATTTATGTATACGTAAATACATAAATGCTTAGAAAGAAAACCAATTCCGTGCTCTGGTAAAATCGATTGCAATTAAATCTTAATAAACATGTTATCCTGTATAAGTGTCCAGGGACAGTTCAAAATAAAAGAAATAATTATTTGCGTGAACTTAAATACGCCAATTAAAAGAATTAAATTGTATTTAATCGTTATATTTATTGTTATTGTTATTCTTGTTGTTATTATTACAATTTATTTTTTTTCTACTTTTGTACTTTGGAAAAATTATTATACGAGTCTATCATTATATAATTTCAATCAAAATATTCCATTGATTGCAAGTAATATTATTATTTTTATAATAAAATATGAAGCAAAATCTTTTTTACCAAACCATAAATCAAAACTGCTGATTAATCGATTAACTTGCCACAATTAATTGCAATTATCATAATTTTTGTATTGCAATCAATATTTTCACACAATTATCGAGTAATAAAGCGTAATTGCCGTCTCAAGTTACACATTAAAACGAATAAAATTGATTTATGAAAATCAAAATTTTTAATAACGGAAAACCATTGAACATTCATATGTAACATATGTATGAACCTGAAAATATATTTTTTTTGGTCGAATTTTTCTACACACCTTTAGCAGCTCATTTAAATAAATGTGATGTGTTAGCAAGGTGAAAATTATGTAGAGTTTACATTGCAAGTCAGCTACCGCTGTTTATTGCATAAACAAATGAGGCGTCGCAAATTGAAATAACAAACGCCATTCATATATTTATTAAAGCTGTCGAAACGCCAATTAAGCGGTAGGAATCTACGTAGAATAAATAAACACCCGAAATTCTGCGATAAAATTGCAAGAAATAAATTATGAAAAATCAACATGTTATACAAATATGAACGTATTTGTAAATAGATTGAAAATTTCATTTAAGGTGGTATACTAGTCTAGAGACATGCATTTTAGGTAATTTTTAAAGTGCCGTAAAAAAGGCAATCAATTTTTTTACCATCGATTCTTTTTATCAATTATTTATTAATGTTACAAGAGTACTAAACAAAATTAAAACAAAAAAAGTTAAAAATTTAAAAAACTGGCACCGGATGATGTGGGGGGTCTCAAAAATTGGCACATAGCATACCCATGATTTTAACCCTCCTAGTCATCTGAAATGGAAAAAAAAGTATTTAAAGTTTAGTGTGAAGTCTTTTGTTCGATTAGACCAAGCCGAACCAGATTTGGAGGACGAGTCAGTAAAATATCTATATATCCGAAAATGACTTACATTTTCAAAAATCCTTGAAAATATCGATGGAAAATCGGTTTGTTTGAAATTCTACACGAGAATACCCCTTAAAGAAAAGGAAAGAAGAAAACAAAGGTTAATTCGAGTAGACTATAATGATAAGTTGTTATTTGAAAGATTTTTGTGAGAAATATTTACAATTTTTTCGATTATTTCAACATATATGTATTTGGTACATGTACCTCGACTTGATGCTTGTTAATTCTCAAGATTATATAAAAAAAAATTCGTTAGCCGGTATTCTTACTGGTATCGAATTTAGATCGTTCGTTGTGATATTAACAATCTAATATACCGAATTTAAAAATTTCTTTTAAAATATTAAACTTAGTCAAACTCAATGTAATTAGTTTGCCTAGGGTATAAGTATCTAACACAAGCTTACTTTTGACTGACATTAAATAGCTTATGACTGAAATATCAATATTTATAAAATGAGGGATAAATTTGCTTTTTGAGTCAATGACTGGATTTTATTTAATCTATTAGCCCATAATTGCCTATGAGCACTGCTCATATATTGATTCGTTAATGCACTGTTCGCACTCACGTTACTCCGCTGTTATATAACACTTGCATGGGGAATGAGTGACCTAGAAAACGGAGATGGCTTGTGCACGTGGTTTTCAATTACAAACGCTTTCCCTTCATTCAAATTCTTCTCCCAAACCATAATTTGATATGTCCATTCAGTCTTGAAGCTTGTCAAGCCTCTGCCCGCCGTTATCTGTTAACTTTTCATAGGTATAACTGCGCAATATCAAAACTTGCCTTTCAGTAGCTCAAAATTATCGGTAGTAAATTGGTTTAACTGTGTAAACATGCATTCACTTGCTCTTGATTGCGCATAAAAGCCATAAAGCAAGCCATTGGATCTCTGTACATATGTGTATGTGTATGTAAGCACAAGTTTCGATAAGCATACCTATACATACACTAGTTTATATTCATATGCATGTGTGTACGTAAACCGTATCTTAGCAAAAATCGCTTGAATCCTACTTGCAAATGAAATGTGTTCCATATTAGATGAGAATTACTCCAAATATAGCTCTAACGTGCGATATAACCATTTACTATAGTATTGACAGGCTTCATAGTCAAAACATTAACCAAAATGTTGTTGTTGAGTCGATCCATAAGAGGTGTTGAGATCCTTTGCTATCTTTTTGATGTCGAAACGACGATTTTCAAGCACTACTGTTTCCACAACTTTTTCGAAGAGGCAAGTTTTCGATGACTGCATGAACTTCACTGAATAGTTTGTGCCATGAAAGTACTTGGGTTCGTAATAGAGTAGTCTCAACAAAACACAAACAAATTCACATATAGAGATCAAACTTCACGCAAACATAAAAAAAGGTTGCATAAAACTAGGAAAAAATTACCAATTCGGTTTGCGCGCACACTTTCAATGGACCAGTTCGGAACAAATGTTATCAGATGTTATAGCACTTGGACTTGCAGTCCAAATGGGTCGTTTATTATAACACAGTGGCTTTTGCTTCTATATAACAATCCACACACACACGGAACGAACATTTCAACCACCACAGCCTGTCGTGGAATCAATGCTAGCATCATGAGTTTTATGCTTTTATTTTGTAGTAAACAGTTTAACCTTTGTTCGAATGAATTGAGGGCTAATTAAATTTAAAGCAAAGCTTTTACTACGCTCTCAACGAAATCAAAAGCGAAGATTACACAAGAAGACGAAAACATAAACTCAAAATATTATTTGAGTTCAAGTCTTTAAAATCGCAAATTTTTTCTCTATTAGTTTTGATTCACTTAAAAAATGCCTTGGTGTTGTCAACATGTTCCATCAGTGTTTCATGTATCATATTCTCAAACAACTTCAGCAAGTGGCGTCTGATCAAGTTTTTAACCCCTTGGACGCCAATTGGACAATGACCTGATAAAACCCCTATAACTCAGAAAAAAAGATCGTTGCTAATAGCGATGGGCTCGCCAGAACTCTGATCATATGTATTCAATTAAATATTTGTTGTTAATAAAAGAATGTATCAGGCATTACTACTATCTAAGTTTATTTATTTTTTATGTTTTCCAATTATTTTGTGTATATTATTTATGATAAATTGAATAATTATTATTTTATTATTATACAAAATCATAATCGAAATCAGAAAGTCTATTAAATAAGATGAAATAATTTAAAAAAATTAAATATAAGTATGCATACGATATATATATTTATGTAGGGATAAACAAATCATTTGCCGGTGCCTTCCTTAATAATAAACTTAAAAGTTACAAAAATTATAAAAATATGAAAAAACTACCGAATTATATGAACTTTCAATTAATATTTCAAAATTTTACACAATATAATTATAACACATTTCTAGCATAAAAATTGCTTTCGAATCATAACGGTAAGATTTAATGTAACATACACAAAAGTTATGAACGCACAATGCACACATACACCTGTATACACAGCAAAACGTAATGTGTTCATACACATATACACACATACAAAGCTAAAATAGAAATAATTTAGAAATAAACACCCGCTTAACATGTTTTTGCGCCAATTTTCCAAATCGTTCGCTTTTGATTTTCGTAGAAATGTTTAATGATTTGTACGTTTGTTATTTTAGAGGCGTGTGTTTGTACTTGCGTATATAGCAATCAGAGTACATATGTATTATGTATTTACATAGGTATGCTTTAGAAAAAAACCAACAAATCAAAATACCGAATTTTCGTGTTAAAGCACGAATTTCACTTTTCAATAAACGTTCAATAAATGTTTGCAGTTTCAATATTTGCTTTTGTCGTCCGTCAACGCGCCATATTTTATATTTCTTTTGTCCCATGTATCCTGTCGACAGAAATACGCTGAAAATATTGTGCGCCCCCACACTGAAAACGTATTTGTGTCTCTGCTTCCAGCATTTCCACATGTTGCACGAGGAGCGCTCTGCCTCCATTTCGGAACGATGCACACGTAGTCGCATCAATTCGGCCATATTTGTGTCGTCCGAGGGTAGAGGATTTGATTCAATCGAATTCCTGCGTCGACACGGTTCGCAGAGTGTATTGTGTCGGAAGGCACGCAGCGCCGAGAATATCACCGACAATGAGCGCAAGGTGAGTTGAGAAATGTGTGGAAATGTTTTAACTAACTCAAATGTTTACGTTTATATATATGTATATACCATTTTCGGAAATAATTTTTACTACAGAAAAGTTTCTCCGACAATAAGGGTTCGTGGCGCAATGAAGGGAACAATGACATCGATCCGAATGCATCGAAGCGGAGACAAGACGATCTCGACGGTAGCGCTATTGAGCTACGCGAATGCCGTCCCATTGCCAACAATTGTAGTGCAGGCTGTTGCGGCGAATCGCGAACTCTATCCGTGCTCACTACCAATACCAGCTGCGATCATCCATCCACATCGGCGGCCGCAGCGGTTTCAATGGCCGCAACTAATGTGGTTGTGGGCAGCATCTCGATTGAAACACCACCTTCCCACATCAAAGATGAACTGCATAACAGCACAGCCAGCATCGCAGCCACAACCACCGCCATCGTCGCTTTGCAGAATGGTGAGAAGAAACAGCGTCCAAATACCTTTGTGGGCATATCGAAGAAGACTTCCGTCTCACGAGATTCCAACGACACTGTCGAGGAGTTAGTACTCGTGCCAAGCGTCGCGGCCACGGCGGTGCCGTTGCCAGAAATAGCCATTACAAATCGTTCTCGTACGCTTGTGCGCCAGCGTTCCTCAACTGCCTCCATTTCACCGCACCGCAGTCCCAAGTTGCTAGCGCTAAAGCATGCCAAACCCAAAATCGCGGCGTTACCAATGGTTTCGGTTTCGGGACCATCACCACCGCACGAGAAGCCGCCGCCACAACCGCAAACGGAGTATTTGTAACAAATGGCAGCCGAAACATTTATTTAAGTTTAAGTGAAAGCAACGTTGACATGGAAGATGGAAGGCATATATGAATATATGAAGAGAATACAAACGGTCGGCGCAGCGGCACGTTATGGTGTTGTATGCGCCAAATCAATAAGGCACAAAAGAAGCTTCAAGCTACCATATCCTCAGTGAAGTATATAATTGGAATCTTTCCTATACTCTTCCTAACTTCCAGCTCACGTATTTAACTCACACACTTACAAATGTTTCGGCTATAATTGGAACAGTTCGTGGCCAACTAGTGTTGGGGTGGTCTATCGTCTAAAATCTCACAAAAAATCTCAAAAATGACTGAACTATTCGTAACTACTGAAAACCGTTAAAAAAACAAATACATATGTACATAAAACTAATATATGTGTATGTATGTATGTATATTTATTACAAAATTATTAAACCTTAGTACTAGATATTAGCTCTAAAAATACAACCCGAGCCATTGGTAGATTGGCGAAAAGCTTTAACAAGTCACTTGAAAACTTTCAAGCTTTAATATTACAAATACCAGTAATACTGTTTATAACATTTTTTCGTCATTAATATTCATTATTGATTAATATTATTAATGTAACATATGTATATGTGCAACTAATTACTATTTATAAGCATATATATGTATGTAATTATTTATTATATTTACGTAAATATGTTTTGTATAGACTTAAGCACAGCTGACAACAAATTATATTAAGCAACCGCAGTAACAACAACAATAAAATCATAGAATAATTGATTACTATCATTATTTCTCCGTTTATCAAAAACTAAACACATACATGCACGTGCTTAGGATAGGTACTTAGAATTTTAGGGAGCTTACATTGTAGGTTTTCGAATTGCGTTTCTTTATGGAATTCAATATACATATATCGTATAGTGATTAGTTTTTTTTATTATGTACTTAAATAATAATAAATATATTCTTAGATATGCATGTGTAAGTTATATATTCATACCTACATGGCTAATATCATATATCTATATAGCATGGCATATTTGGTATATTTTGTAAAAGCTTTAATGCTACAAAGGAAAATGATCTTGCAGGTGACAACATCAACGTCAATGCCAGTTTGAAGCGCGTATTCAAGTGGCAACTCATTAATATGAAGTAAATTCGTTAGTTACCAAGTTGAATGTTTTTCTTCAAACGCCCCTTTAGTTTCAGTTTTTGATTCAACATAAGTATCCAATGTAAACAGACTCCTTATTTTCGATTTAATCTTTGCTAAATCATTTTTTGCATTAAGCAAGTAAATCTACAACTTTAAAAAGTAATATTCAAATACAAATTTTGCATAAGAATATCACTTTATTAAAGTTGTAGATTCATTTACTTTGGAGATAAAATATTTATTGCAAAAGATCAATTAAATTCCATATTCTATACATGGGAAAAGAAATCTGATTAAGGCACGCAGAAACTAAAACTTCAGAAAACGTTTGCAAATCATAAGTTAACTTTGCAAATAACGGAAACCTTAATAAACATAGTTATATTGGTTTTTTGTAATTTTCCAAAAAATTATTTTAAAAAATTCTGTTTCAAAATTTATATTTTAAAAATATATTTTAATTTAATTTATAGATATTTGAGAAGAGATTATTTACTGTACAGTGGAGCAAATTTGAATTATATGGAAATGATGGAATGTAACTCAAACTGAAGAGATTTTGAATATATGCTTTTAAATAAAATGCGTAAATAAAAAGAAAAATAAAAAAATAATAAAAATAAACTTACAATTATGTACAAATGTAAGAAACCGTATAAAAATCATTCATACTCGTATTTACTAAAATTAAAGAAACAATAATAATAGTATGTACTCACAGAGGAATTTAACGGCTTGTCAGGGCTCCAAAGGCAGGCCAAAATCAAAGCTCAAGAATTTCATAAATCATTTCAACTTAAACACATTTATCTAAATCAACTATACATAGACACACATCAGCATTTACACACTAATACTTAGAAATTTAGTAATAGATAGAAGCTAACATCTAGTCCATTGAATTATTTGAAGTTTGAATCGTTGAAAGCCAAATAGGACCCTGACCCGAAAACCAATACGTACAACATTAAAATGTATGTATATTTGTAGTATTTATACCAAATCATAATAGAAAACTAATCATGACCTAAACAATATCTACATGCATAAATATTTAATATAATATATATATTTATATACATATGTTTACACCTACTGAAAACTTAATGAAGAAATATGGTATAAGCTTTACTCTCCTCTATCAAATAACAAATAAATATTTACATGTAAGCAACAAAATTTGATGCACATACATATATACTTATGTACATACATACATAAATACATACTTCACAGTGTATACAAAAAAATATTGACGAGAAATGTTCAAAGACACCAACCAAATATCACAGTGCAACCGAAGGATTTGATTTTTCCTAAAACCAAAGGAACGAATATAAATACCTATATGTATATAAACATGCACATAGAAATAAAACTCAGCAATTGAATGACTACCTATAGAGTTATACACAAGCAAGTATATACTATATACTATATAGAGATAACATTTCAGTAAGTATATTGCCAATACTCAATGTTTATAAAAAATATTAAAAAAGATAGTTTAAGCAGATTTTATTGACCACGTAATAGAGCATTTTATGGAAAATAATCGAAACATTTGTGTACTAGATTGCTATCCGAAATTACACAAAAGATGTTGTTGGCATGTTGAAAATAGTACTTCTTAATTTATAAAAAAAAAAATACATTTTTTAATTTATAAAAAACAGAATATTTTTTAATTTATAAATAAAAACATTTCTTTATTTATCAAAAAAAATAAATAATTTTAATTTTGAATAAAAACATTTATTAATTCATAAAAAAATAAACATTTTTTAATTATGAATAAAAACATTTTTTAATACATAAAAAATAAATTTTTTTAATTTATAAAAAAAAAACATTTTTTAATTTATGAAAAAATATTTTTTAAATATAAAAAGGTAACCTAATCTGTTCCAACGACAGTCGCGTGTAAGTAACGCTACGGATAGGTATTTATAAGTAACCAAAAATTGTCAATACGACAGCATTTCTTAAAACAACAATAACAAAAACACGCATGATCTGATAAACATATTTCTTATTAACTATTCTCTCATGGGGCTGTTCAGAATTCAATTCTTTGCCATTATAAAGTTTAAATATTTTAATTATTATTTTCTTCGAACAAATCTAGAGCATACATATACATACATATGTATTTACATACATAATGCAGACATTTTCATAGCTGTACTCTATACGAATGTAAAAGTTCCAAAAACAATTATAGAACCTAAAAAAAAGCAACAGATAAATGAATTTGAGGTTTCAGAATAAATTGAATGTTAACTAAAATGTTAATAAAAACGAATTTTTAATAGAAACACAAATAAGTTTTGATAAGATGATAAAATTAAGATGGCGAATTATGGCAAATTAACTTTTTTTCATTGGCAGATTCTCAGGCCACAGATCCATTTCACTTTATACTAACATAGGTAAAGTTTTTTTTTTAAATTTTGTGCCCGCCGCATTGTTTTGATGTAAAAAAAACATTATTTCCAACAATTTTATTATTGATTTGTTAAAATTAATTTATTTTTCGTTTTGTTTTATTTATGTATTTATTTTTTATTTTTTTATTATAATTATTTATTTTTTTATTATAATTATTTATTTTTTTATTATAAATATTTACATTTTTATTTTATTCTAATTATTTATTACATTTAAATGTAAATTAACTTTTTTTTAATTTTTTATTTATTTATAAATAAAAGTAAGTTTTTCAAATTTTTTTAAATTGATCATTTTAGCTTAGAAAACGTATGTTAAATGAAAAAAAATATTCCGTCTCTTGTTTATTCAACGAACAGCTATTAAAATAAATATTGCGAAAATGCGACATTTAACTTATATTTTTGGAGGTAAATATAAATGTATCCGTATACAAACCTATATATTATATATATATACAATTACTCGAATGTCTATAACAAGTGTAATAAAAACATGTTATTCTAAAATAATTCCAGAAGCTTTACCCAAGTCCAATATAATGTCAAAAAATATTGAAATCAATTAAATAGTTTCGTATTCACACTCAAATAAAAGATATAGATATTTACGAAGTCAATAATATATATATGAAAACCTCGTAAAACAAAATATTATTTTATATTGTATAAATATATAATAAAACTACACATACAACTTTTTAAACGTCCAGTTTTATAATGAGAGTAGCGCAAACCCAAAATAAAACTTTGGGTTTAATTGTTAATAAAATATTTTTCTACCCTTTTGTGCATTTTTTTAGTCTTTAAGTTAATCAGTTTTATACACGCCTGCATAGATTATTTAAATTGCGAATTTATTTTTTGAATCAATGCTAATTTTAACAAGTAAACGAAGGAATTTAATAATGGTCAAATAAAAAGTTTTAACAAAGGTTTACAGCTTCTTTAAGAAATTAGTGTCTTATTTAAAATTACCACAAAAAATACAAGAATTATGTAATATTTCATATTCGTATTAGTTAAATAAGTTCATCCGAGCCAAATCGTAAAACCAATATTTTATAAGTACATATATATTTCACTTTGAATTAATGCAAAGTATTTACGTATCGAATTAACATTATTTGAAAATTAATAAAAAGTGTAGAAACCATTTTAGAGAAGTAAACATAATTTTAGTAAGAATTTTAATGCAACAATTATAAAAAGCAGTAAACAAATTTTGTCATTAATGAAATGTCAATTAAATATACGATTATTTCAGAATGTCTAGATGTTAATTAATTTATTATAACGATATTTGCTGATGCATAAAAACATTTGTATATGTTTTAGAGACCTATCATGGAAAAACTAGATAAAAACTGTCATTAAATAAATGGGAATTAAACTTCAAATATAGTAAATATAAATTCAGTGTGTTTTATTTCGTTGCTAGCGCCTCTCGAAAATCACACAATGATTGCCTTGATCATAGTAGCTTTGCACTAGTTCTACATCGGGCACTTGCGCTAACATTGCCTCCAGCTCACCGGACTCGAATACATGGTAATAGCGCAAGTAGGTACTTGAGGGCGCATGGTTATTAGTATCTTTAATCGCAGCTGATGCGCCTTTCAATTTCCACGGCACCAGCACATCCTGCTGCATGAAGTCGGTGCGATTTGTGTGTACAGGCAATTGCGGTGCACTATGTATTGAAGATTTAAAATCTTCTGTCTGCAGCTGTTGCAACACCTCTGCTGCACATTGTCGCTGTTGCTCAACGGTTGTCTTCTTTTTATTTAAGGCTTTATTTTGCAGTAAGTATGCCGATTTCTTATTATCATTAGCGCGTTGGTCTTTCGCCCAAACATAGATCAGTGCACGTCCACCTGAACGCAGCAGCCTTGCGATTTCCCGTATCGCAGCCAAACGCCGCTCTGCGGTTGCTAAATGATGAATAACGGCAATGCTAATGCAAGCATCTACGGCTTGGCTGCGGATAGGTATATGTAAGCAATCGCAACGAAAAGCGTTTGGCAAATTTGTGCCGTCCTCGTTAATGATTTTTGCACGCTCTAAGCACGCGTTAATAAGTCCACTACTACGATCGCATCCAATTGTTAAAGCATTATTATTACATTGAAGATATTTTCCATTGCCACAACCAATATCGAGTAACACTGATCCAGTTTGAAAGCTACGTAGAAATTCAGCAACACGTGGCCAAGGTGTGTGACGAGTTTCACTGAAGTGTGGCGCAATACAATCATAAACGCTGTGCACGTTCTTTTCCTCTAATTGTGCAGCTATCACATCGGTTATGATAGGACTTAATTTAATTTGTGTATTTAAACGCGAATCACAAAGTGTGGGAAATTTGCAGTCGCACGGACCTCGTCGCAAACGACGGAAAGTTAATGAAATACGTTTTTGGCGCGGCATCACAGTCAAACCAGTCTCGGAGGGCACAACATCAAGTGTACGCGGAGTAATACCATGTGTCCAGTCATAACGCGATGCTCCCGACATCACCAACATTGAACGACGTAACAATTTGAGTGGCTGTCGATCAGAGCCACGGCGGAAATCCATAACTACTTCACCAAATAGTGATAAGGAAAGAATGGGATCGAGAAAGGCACTATGCGTATCTACATGTGGAGGTATACCCTGTCCAGGTTCATAGATGTTAACCGTTAATTGATCCGGAACATCCCAATCCCATGTTGGTAGACCCAGCTTAGCCATTTCAGTTTTTAGTCGCGGCCAGAGTATATCACACTCCTTTGGTATTTTTTCGTTTAACGGTTTTGTGGCATCAACGTTATTTTCTCCATATATGAATTGATAACCAAAATGTTTTACACGTCTATGTTTTAAATCATTTTGTTCGACATCTTCTATATTAATTGCTCTTAATAACATATTTTCTTCAGGCTCTGTCAAAAAATTCGGCAATAGTATGAGACCTTCAGGAAGCGGTTTAGCCCAAACATTTTCTTCCCTGCACATAGGTAAACTTTTAAAAAATGACAAATAAACCACACCTCCACGTTGCTCTAACCCTTCACGTCCGTGCATGCTGTTATAAATACGCTCCGCATCAAGCACATTATTGCATTCCAAAAAGCAATATGATTTGTTTGGCAACATGATTACTTGTTGCACAGGTGCATATTGGATTGCATTAGATAACACGGATTCTTCTGTAAGGCCTGTAGAAAGACCGGCATTCAAGATAGCAAGAATGCATGTAGGCGTTTCACTACTTTCAATATCAAAGTCCGTGCGGATTATTGCCTCACACCGCCGCTGCTTACGCTCCAATTTACGAGAACTGTAATCTTTCGTCATTTTAATTTTTACTTTTCAAAGATATGTTGGTTTAACTCTAAGCAAAACTTTACTATTCAGATCCGAGCAAATGTTTATAACACAAATAGAAAAACGATCATCGGTTCAACATGTGTAATCTTAATGTTTACCTTTTATATGTCAAATATTGTCGAATGAAAATCAAAATAAACCAAGATCAATGCTGCCAATTCCTTTCGTTTTTCTGAGAACCCATACCAGTGCTGACAGTTTAGTAAAAACTGTGTTGTAAAACGCCTACAGAACGCACACTTGAAATTTGAAAATAGCAGTTTTATAAAAGTATTAAAAAGTTATTAGCGAAGTAGTTCCTTTCCAACATTTTAAGTTATAATCAAAAGAATAGGTTATTTTAAATGTACATTATCTGTTGGCTTCCACCAATGTTCTATTTTTCTTATCTTTACGAAATATGAAACTAATGGGACCATAAGCGATTCCAATTGGATAAATGTGCCCATTATGCTGTAGTGCTTCCCAACTAACGTTTTCCAATCAGCTTGGGTACATTCAATAAATTTCTGTTTTCATTTTCGTTGTAGTTTTCATTTGGCTGCATTTGTGTGCATTTGTCTGGTTGTGCTTCGTGTTTCAAGTGTACAACGGAAGATATTGATAAAAATTTGTACAATTGGTGTACTAATTGAGAAAATGTGTATATGAAATTGAAAATTGCAATTGTGCGTCATATAAATCAAAAGTGAAGTGATAAAGTGTAGCTTGGGAAATGTGTGGGACCTTTTATACTGCATTTGAGATAGCAGCGACAGTAATAACAGCAGCAGGCTGCAATAAAAGCAGAGATTTATGTTCGCAACAGTGAATGTCGCTGTCTATAATTATTAAAGGCATTGTTTTTGGAGGGGAGGTGGGGTATACGTCGCCGGAACTTGCAGCGCTAGCACTTCCTTAAATGCAATAACAACAAAGGAAGCAGCTAAAATGGGTAAGCAGTGCTTAAGTGGAGCAAAAAGAAAATCAACAAAGAAAAAATTTGTGAATGCCAGTTTAACAAACATTAAAAATGCTTATTAAGTTGAAAATAATATACCTATATGCATAAAATTCAGACTACAAAGGCGTTTGCAATTCGACGCCAACGTATGACGAACACCAGCGCAAATGACACCGGCGTCGTCTACGTACCCTGTCAAAGAATATACATCCATGCATTAATATTGAAGAATTTTGTATTCTAAAATTTTGCAGTTACCTTTTAAGTCACAAACTTACTTCAATCGATTTAACCAAATTCACGGACAATAGTTCAGGGTAGATTAACTACGGGCTGCTGGCTGTGAATTGGAGTGTAATGTCGTGTAGCAATAGCAGATACAACGGTGTCTGTAATGTGTGGATAAAAAACAACATATCAACCTACCGGATAGCAGAGGGTTGAGTCAGCGCATTTCAAGTGCGATAACTAATTATGTTCGCAATACGGTATTTGTATGTACGTATGTTATGTATGCGCATCGTTCATGCACGGGTAGTGGGACGACCAGAAAGCAAACAAGTATGCAAGGGCTCTGCTGCCACTTTTGTTCGCTTTCCGACGCTATGGAACATTTCGAAATAAGCGCCGTTGGCTATTTTTAAGTCATTCCCACAGAGTACAGCGAACAACAAACTGCAAAGTGTGTGTGGCATTGCTGTCAAACTAGGCCAGAGCAACTTTCGCAGCAACAACCAACAACCAGCAACTAAAAAGCATTCACCGTAGCCATGACAGTCGGCCTAGCATATGCTAGATTTAGCTGTAGCACGACATTTGTTGCGCGCTCCCACTTCACACCCACATGCCGCATGCAACCGATAAAAATAACAATAAAAAGGAAAAAACGTAAAATCGAAAGAAATGACTTTTGTCTCCATGGGCAGATGAAACGGATGTACGCGGGCGTTTGGACAACTGCAGTTTTTTTTTACAACAAAAATGTTATTAATTTGCATGGCACTCTTTAAGCTGCAGATAAATAGTTGAAGCACAAGAAGAAAAATGAATTGGATATTTTGGTCTAATATCAGTGCTTGCCCCAGTTTACAAAATTTTTCATACAAAAATAGAATTCAATTTATTAATTTTTTTTCTACTTTTCCAGAATGCTCCCAAATTGATTTATATGAGTTTCTAACAGAAGCAGAATTACAACATTATTATAATGCAATTAAGTAAGTTGTGTGGATATTATTCGGCGCACACATTTCTGTATATATGTTATATTTTTATTCGCAGAAATGAACTGAAAATTACAAATGCTGCCCACGTCAAATATGCAACTGACGAAGACCTCAAGCACATAGGACTGTCGCGGCCAGAAATACGTCGACTGCGCAAATACTACGAAAAGCACTTTCCACATGGCTATCTGAGTAAAATAAAGCGCTTACTACAGGCGCCGGCCACAATCGTTAAGCGTGACGGCGGCGATGGCAGTACAACACTTTCAAATGCATCATTGCATAGTGCGGCGGAGTCGCCTTCAACAGCGCGCAACGCCAACTCACCCAGCAGGGCACCAAATAACAAGCATATTATACCAGCCGATTCTATAACGGTGAATAAACAACTGGGTACTGGCGAATTTGGCATAGTACAACAAGGCGTGTGGACCAATGGCACAGAAAGGGTTAGCGCACAGAAATAAAAAGCGTTACTCAAATAATAGTAAATAAATTGATTTAATATTTCAGATACAAGTTGCTATTAAATGCTTATGCCGTGAGCGTATGCAATCGAATCCTATGGAGTTTCTGAAGGAGGCCGCCATAATGCACTCTATTGAGCATGAAAATATTGTACGTTTATATGGTGTTGTTTTGGCTACGGACTCATTAATGCTGGTTACTGAGTTGGCGCATTTGCGTTCTCTATTGGAATGTCTAAAAGATCCCGGTTTACGCGTAAGCTTTCTTACAATTCCAACGCTTTGCGAATTTGCCATGCAAATCTGTAACGGTATGCGTTACTTGGAAACTAAGCGTCTTATCCACAGGTGGGTACAGCTTTTTCCTTCATACAAGTTTATAAAATTTGTGTTTTTCCTACTCATCCTACTCATTGCAGAGACCTTGCTGCGCGAAACATATTGGTTTTCAGCAAAGATAAGGTTAAAATTTCCGATTTCGGACTGTCGCGTGCTTTAGGTGTAGGCAAAGACTATTACAAGACAAATTTTAATGTCAACCTAAAGCTGCCTATTGCCTGGTAATAGCATTAAAATTTACTTTTGCATTGAATATATAACATTTGCACCTTATGCCTTACAGGTGTGCACCGGAATGCATCAACTATTTGCGCTTCACTAACGCCTCAGATGTTTGGGCTTACGGTGTTTGCCTGTGGGAAATGTTTTCCTATGGATTTCAACCTTGGGCTGCTCTCACCGGGTTGCAGATACTTGAAGCTATAGATGCACCAAACTATCAAGTGAATATTTTTGAGGAAAAAATCGAAATAAATTATAATAATATACTCTTATTTTGTTTTCACACACAGCGCCTCGAGCAACCCGATTGCTGTCCGCAGGAATATTACACGCTCATGATGAAATGTTGGCAAGATGATCCCGTAAAACGTCCAAAGTTTACGGAAATCTATGAGCTATTGCCCGATATGAAGCCTGAGCAATTGAAAGCGGTTGTGCATTGTTTGGAGCCCAAGAAGGATCATTTATTGTATCGACAAGGCGATATCATAACAGTACTTGATCGCAATACGGGCACACCGTTTTGGAAGGGCGTACTTACATCGGGAAAGACGGGATTCTTCAACCCCTCAAATACCGTGGCATATCTGGAGGGTTTACCCACGGCTAACCGGTGAATTTAAAAATAATTTTTTTTTAATTAAAAGTTTTACTTATAATTTTGCTCCAACTACTTTTAGGGACTCATTTTGTCGCACCAGTGAACGCATTAGCAAACGAAAATTACGCACAGAAATGATATCAAAGCCGCAGAATGATTTCAAACACACTGGTCATGTAGGCATCGATGGGGATTCTTTTGGCGATATAGCTTTTCTTGGAAATTCGCAAAATGTAATGAATAATTATCTTCCATTTATTTGTTATTAATTGCAAAACGATTTTTAGTACAATCATGTGCCACGGCAAATCGTTACACCTTATAAGCCATCGGAAGATATCGAGCAAACACCACTTCTACTGCCACCGACACCAACCAGTCCCGATTCCTTACAAACTGCTAGTGGTTATTTCCCCGAAGAGGGTCATGGCACGTCAATGAACCCCACATTTATATCCTCAACGGAAAACACACCCAAGCATTTCAACACTGGCAATGGTGGACAGTCCTCGTTCGAGTTTCCCGGTCAACAGTCACATAGCAAGTCCTTCACCAATCCATTTACCCACAAGGCAGACGATGAAGTTATGCGTAGTGGTGGTACACTCGCTATGCAAAATAACAACTACGGTCTGGATAGTCAAAGCTTCCAAGCTAACGTAGTTGCGGGCAGTTTACAGCAATGGCGTGACGCAGGCAAGAATGGCGGCAGCAATGAGGATCCACACGAATACCATGAAATTTCTGATGACGAAATGACTGCTGACAAATTAGACTTTGGACCGTCGCTCTTGGACGAAATTAACTCTATGTTTGGTTCAATGAGCGCCAGCACAAGTGCAGCCGCCTCGAAATCATCCGATTTCGAGCATACAAACAAAAAAAATGAATTCGCCGAAATCACTTCGAAATTGGTGGGCAAAAGTGGTGATAGTAACAGCGGCAGCAAGTTCGGCACATCCTCGAAGAAGAAATCATCAGGCACTGTTAAACCCATATCGGTGAAGGACGAGCGCATTTTGAATCAAGCGATCGAAATCGCCAATGAAATTAGCGCGAGGTGAGTTGTTTACTATTTTCGAAAAATTCTTTTGTCAATACTAACTCTTCGAATCGCTTCTATTTGTAGGTCAATGAACGACTTAGTATGCGACCAATCGTCCAATACACATAGTCCAAAACGGAAATTTAGTTTCCGATTTCCGCACTTAACGAGTAGCGGCAGCAATGCCAGTGACAAGGCGTCTGGAGGTAACTCCTCGCCAACAGCTGGCAGCGCGAACGCAAATGCAGCAGGGCAAAAGTCGCTATCGCCATATTCGAAAAAGAAGAATTTCACTGAAGAACTGGAGAGCATACCCGATTTACAGGTGAGTTTTACTGTTATTTTCAATACAAGCGCCATTGCCTCGATTTATACTGAACTCTCAACTGTTGCGCCGAGTTACTAACAACCACATTTGTATGTTTCTCCCTCCCCCTAACGTTAATTTGAAAAAAAATAAAAAATTATGGGTTCGATTTATTATTATTTTGTTTTTGGAATTTTATTTGTTGCTCATTTATTTCATTTATGCCTATATATGTTTTATTAAACATTGAAACCGCAAATGGTTTAATGAAATAGCGATTTCGCTCCTTAAGCGAAATCAAGAATGTTAACGGTCCCGATCTACGTATACCGATTTTCGATAAAGAAAGTTCCGATTTTTGTTTTGAAAAATCGCGTGAAATATTAAGTCGTCCACTAAGTTTAGATCCACCGCCATCCCTAACCCAAAGCACAATATCGCCCACTTCCACGCTCGATTCGCAATCCCATCGTGCTCTGCGAAATCAAAAAAGTATCAGCGAGAATATTATGGATATCGAGAATACATTGAAGGCGCTAAATTTGGATTTCATGCACACCTACACGGAATTGGACAAAACCGACTCGGATGAGACCTTGCTGAACGAACAGTTTTCCAATATCGTATCGTCGATCGAGGATGAAATCAGTAGCGCCACTGGTAGCCTCAAATCCGCTATCTACAATTACAGCAATGGCGTACAGACAATGTTCGACTTCAATGCCGCGACCAGTCATTTGGACAAGCACTTGCAATATATTAATACACAGAGCCACGCGCAGGCGCAGTCGGCACTAGGTGATCTAATGCAGGATCAGAAAATGGCTGAAGACAAACGATCCAGCACACCCGACACGGGGTTCGCTTCGCGTGACACGAACATCTCGCTTTCACGACGAAGCAGCCAAAAATCAAATTATAGCCCACAAGAAAACTACTACAGTCCCAAAGAAACAGCGCCGTTAGGCCCTAGCGGCAGTAGCAGCAGCTATATGACACACAGAGATGATAGCCTACAGCTCGCAACCGAGCGCTTCAGCGCCACAAAATACGGCAACTGCGCTTCACCAAATAAAACGTCGGCTCTGAATGTGAGCAATACTTCGGTGTACTCTAGCAACCAGCTTAAGAGCAGCGCTTGCGCTTTGGGCGTTCTCGATGCCGATCAATATAAAGAGAGTGGTCATCGTCAGCGCTCCATGTCTTTCACCGACAATCCAATGAACCCCATCTCTCCGGTGCTGTCCGAACCACAACAGCGTTTGAAACGCCGCTCTACGCATTCGGCTATGGAGACTCACGCTACACACACACCGCATGTGCGCAGCGCTTCATCTTACAAACCGCGCTCGATACGCGCACGCACATTGCGTCGTCTCAGCTACAATCCCATCATATTGGACTCTAGCTCATCAAGCGATGGTGACCCGGTAAGCGATTGTAATCCCAGTATTGCGCGTTCGGAATGCGACATACGAGCGCGTGTCTCCTCACTCTACCGTCGCCGCCGACCAGCAAGCGGTGGCAGTGTTACTGGTAATGGTGTAGCGCACAAATTGTTAACTCCCAACTGGCAAGACGATGACGCGGCGGAGTTGGCCACGACATCGCAGAAAAAGTTGTACGGTTCGAATGTGAGCATAAAGTCGGCGCCGCATTACAATTACGGTGGACGCAGCATGTCGCATCATTACAGTCGTCAGTTGGACGAACAATTTGCCTACGAAGACCGTATATATGATTTTGGTGGTGGGCGCGGACCGGGTAATAATTATAGCGGCAGTGTAGCGCCCGCTATAAGTGGTCCAACAAGAGGCATGGACATGAATGGAAGCAGTGGCCTCGTTGGCAATACCATAGTTGGTATGGGTTTGGGTGGTGGCGTTGGCGGTGGCTCCGGTTCGGGTTCATCTTCGGCTACATCATCGGCGCCACCATACAATAGTGGCGCGCCTATCATCGGCATAGGAAACGCTGGGGAACGTAGCTTCGGCGCGCTCAGCGGCATCAGTGCGCGTAACGCAGTCTTCCATGAATTCGATGTCAGTCGTTTGACCGGCAAAAGTCCCACTTCCAATTTCGCCAACTCCTCCCCGGAGGAGCGCAACCGCGTACATCCCTCGCCGCCCAAGTCCCTGCCGTTGCCGCTATTGAATGCGGCAGCGCCCACCGCAGCGGCTGGCACCGCAACAGCACTGCAAAAAAGTTTGGGCAGCGCCAAGCAGCAAATGGAATTTCACTGGCCGGAGAAGATACATGCGTCAACAGTGAAGCAGAATGAGCTGCTCTGGCGACAACAGCAGCAGCAGCAACAACAACGGCAAAGCAAAACGTCTACCAAACATCAATCACACAGCGCGTTTTTGGGCAGTATGCTCGTCAGCAGCGCGACTGCCGGCGTTGGCCTCGCACTGAGCGGCGGTGGCGTCATGCCAGGCGAGGCATCCTACACGAGCGACAGTTCTTCCAGCGGTAGCGAAGAGTTCGCTTTTCGCACCGAGTTCATACCTCATGTACCACCAAGTCCAGCTCCATAACTAAGAAAAATGCTGAGATATTTTTTCAATTTACTTTTTGGTAATGTGTTGGACGAGCAGCAATAAGGCAAAGAAATGCTGAGAATTGAAAGTACAGTAATGAAAAGAATTGAATTAGTTATAAGCAATATAATACATAGTCAAAGCAGTATTTTATTGTTGTACAAAAAAAGTATATGTATATTGTAACGCAACAAAAACGCTACCATAGAAATTCTACTTGTTGCAACAGCAGAAAACTTTGAAAGCCCTTAACAAGATATAAATATATATTACATAGAAGCGACTGTTGTTCAACCTGTCACCTGTGACCGGTCGCAATCGTTGCTTTCAGAACTATAAGCACTCGTTGGGCATGCATGTTAGTAGGGCCCCGAGATTATACAATACAAATCTTATATGACGTTGTAGTGATATTTGTATATTTTCATTTATGTAGAAGGCAAAAGCTTGTAACTGCAGCGGCAGCGGATCCAGATTATTGGTCCGTCACCGCACAGTTTGGTGGTTTGATTTTGGTAATTGATGCCGTAAGGTTTATTGACAAAATATCAACAGCAGCGCAGATAATTCTTAACATAGGGAGTGCCTTATCGAAATTAATTATTTTCTGCATCAATCGCACACACACACACACACTCACATACACACATGCACACGCATGCACTCAGTCATTTTTGCGCAGTATTTGTTTTTACTGACATCTCGTAAATTTTTCCACAACTTCCGCAGCTCAAATTCTGATCAAATACATACATACATACGTATGTGCAACGTGCAACAATAAGTCATGAAATTGCGAATTTATGTCACCATCACCCATTAACGTACTCGTGCATACATACATAAATGTGAAATGTTCCCTAATGCAAAAACAACTACAATGCAGACTTTGCAGACTTTTTATGCGCAACAATCAATAGCTTAATGGAATTTTTATAAATCATATTTTTTACAATTTATAAATTTGTTTACCGAAAACAAAAGCGATAGCAATAGCGAAGCTTCATGAAAATAATAATCGTATAAATGCGAATAAGAACAACATAGCATTGCAAGCATAAACACGATGAGAATTGAAAGAAAAATAACATTTATAAGGAAGAAAAATGAGGTTCCTCCAAAAAATTAAAATAAAAATAAAATAAAGAGTTTATAGTTGTTGGCTACAAGCTCCATATTGATGGTTAACTTTTCAATCATAAAAATATTAATATTTCGTCATTTCGAAGCATAGTAATTTAATAGGTTCAAACAACTCTGCACTCTTTTATGGCATATTCGTATTTTAACTACAGTAAGGCTGAAGTCAAAAAGATAAAATATCCATCTTATATAATATCTTACTTGTGCTAAGTATTTGTTGTTGCAACCGCTAAAAAAAAGCAGGCGGAAATAGTTTTTTTTACGGATATAGCACTGAAATGGTCAATACAACAGATTACCAAAGCTGACAGTATATTTACTTGAAACTTCAATGAAGCTAGAATTATGAAAGAAATGGTAATATCTGTTGTTTTCACTTTTTCTTATTCCAAGAAATTAATTTGTTGATTATAGGTCGCTTACTGAAAACGCTTGACTCGGAATGTGAGGTTCAGCTGCCTTACATTCGAAGTTTACAAATAGATTTTTTACCCGAAAATATAGATAAAAATGGTATTTTCTACTATTTTAGCCGCTGTAGTAGAGGCGTGCTTGACCACCACTCGGTGTTTAAACTGGAATTATTTAAGTTCATTACAAGCGAAACTTTGAGCGACAATGACTAGCATAATTAAATATACATAATATATATGCTGGGCTTTGAAGTGCTCTATACAAATTGAAATTCATGGGTTATTATAGTATTATACAAGTATCGTCGATTTGCGACATAAATTGGCCGAAAATTCAGATGAACAATAATGAAAATAAACCCAATAATTAGTATTTAACCAAAAAGTGTTTGTTGTTGATATGCAGAAAATTTCATGACTTCTAAAGTTTTACAAAAATTAATAACAAAAATACATCTAGATATATAGCAGATAATACAAAGATCGCTATGATTTTATTGCTAGTAAACTCGATTGTGAAACCGCCTTACACACGCAATCTGATCTGAATCTCAGTAAAAAAAAAAATAAGTTTTAGCATAAAGCGAATTTTAATTTGCGACTTTACAGGCACTTGAAACCATGTATTCGAGCTTATAAGCGTTAAGAGATTCTAATATACTAAATCCTAGATGTCTGAAGTAATTTAGCTGATTTCTCTGTCGAGATTAAACTTTTGCGTTTTCAGAATTTATTTCCGATATTCCAAATCTATCGCCTAGACAATACCTTTTCGAAGTAGAGCGTTACTTGGCGTTCTCATTAAATAAGTTTTATGAGCTCTACTAAATAGATCGATCAGTGCAATATCATTGAAAAGATGCCAAATCGGCAGCTCCTGCGTAAAATTATTGAAAACTTTGTGATGATTTCTATACGATCTCTGATCTTTGCTGATGTTGGAATATCGAAAATCGTATGTCTAATTCATATTATGCATTTTTTATTTTTTTAATTTTCGTATTCCAAACACTAATATATATCTTTTATGGATTTTACATAAGTATAAGGTTGTGAGCACAAAATAATAAAAAAATATTAATTTTTTTTTGTAATTAACTTAGGAAATGATAAATTACGAAGTATACCAGTGCTTGCTGTTGTCGGTTGATCGATTCATCGCCACATTAACATTATTTCCACACACACTACTTACTATAATACTTCACTTGATTTCTAAAGCATTAAAGTTAGTGCTGCAGTTATCAATTTCTGACTTTTTTATTCAGCAAATATTCATTAAAATTTTATTTGGAGCAATTCCAAACTTATTGTATATCCCCTTAACAAATGTTACGCCTAACATTAGCAGTGCCTGTAAAGGAAATACAAAATACTTTTTAGCATAGCTTACCGTTTTTTAACGCTTTTATCGCCTCTCCAAGCAACGACATGATGGCAAAAACAAATTTTAGCATCCTTAGTATTCTAGACTTACTGTTTCTTAAATCTAGAAATGAAAATATTTTTCTAAAATTAGTTGCTCTGCTAAAGTATAGACTTAATATATGGTATTTATGCTTGAAACACTAGACACTATATACCAGTCCACACATACAGTTAAATCTTTACATATAAGAATTGATCTCTTGACAGCTTAGCGTTTTTTTTAGCGTAGAATTGAAATGTTAATCGCTCGCAATATTTGCAATATTGATAAGGCGAGCTTATTTGCATAATTATGGCTGAGCATTAATTAGATAGGTGGCAGTATGTGCTTGTATACATATCTCTCCACATTTACTCGTATTATATATATTATATCCTTAGGTATACAACATTTGGCGATATTATCAGCGGAAATTTAAATTCAAATTACAATTACATGCATACATTTATATTATATGCTATATTATCCTTCATTTTATTATACATATATATTCGCGAACATATTTAGACATTAGTACGATGATTACTTAAAAGATATGGTATATGTAAAATCATCCTTGTATATACAAATTTATATGTAATCGTAAATGTATGGTCAATGCCATTTATATTCTAATTTGCCCTTGACCTCTCTACATGCATACTTATCATTATTATATTTATTTAAAAAATCGCAACACGCTTCATTTCCATACAAATATATTTAATCTTCCAAATGTATGCACATATGTACTGGTACTCGTATCTTGGTTTCTTGGCGACAAAAAAAAAAAAAAAACAATCGCAACTAGCGCGATAAGGCAAAAAAAAGTCTATTTCTACTCGTACTCGTATTACTACTTAATTCTGAACGACAAAGATGCAAAGTTTAAATTCTAAATAAGAAACGCAAAGCAGAAAACTTTTATTTGAAAGCAATAAAAGTAAAAAAAAAATATCAAATAAATAAAAAAAAAAATTGTATTTACTGTATTTTATTGTATTTGCATGTATTGCATTGCCGGTTGCATTTATGATGTTTCATAACAAAATATTAATGAAAAAATAAAACTTAAAAATAAGAGACAAAGTTAAAATAAAATAATACTTGAAATATAAAAGCAAAAAATTATATTATATTTAAAATAAATTTAAAAATGAAAAATAAAGTTAAAAATATAAAAATTACAAATAAAATTAAAATTTAAAATAAAAAAAGATTTAAATGAAAGTCAGCTGTATTTTCTATTCTATTAAATGATGATATTTAAAAACAAAAAAACTTAACAAACTTCTAAAAACATAATCAAACTAATATTATACATACATACATAAATACTTACTTATACGCTACCCATGTTTATTATACACAAAACCATAAGAAGAAAGAGAAAAAGAAAATAATATATATTTAAAAACTAACTAAATTAAAAGACAAAAAACTGTTAGAACGTTGTGTTGAATCAAAATGTTGCTAACTTTCGGCATTAATTGAAATGTTAAAACTAAAGCTAAAACAAAAAAAAAAAAGCTGAAACAGATGTGAATTTAACGAAACAAATTAAACAATAATACATACATATGTATAATTAAAAAAATTGAAATATTGAAACAAGATAGTACAGGAAATTCAGTGCATGCAGTTCAAAAACGTGTTCGATTGTTCGCAATTTGACATCTACAAAATACAACAAAAATATGAATTAACAACAATAATGAAGGAATTAAACCAACCACAAGCAAATAAATAAAATATTATTGTATTTCTATACAAGAAAATTTGTTTATTTTACTATAATATTATGGGTTTATAGTTACCACCATACACCTCCAACCAAACAGAAGTGTTGCAGATCATAAGGTTGTGTTGCGTATAAATTACCCTACTGCAAGTAAATTGACGAAATCTAACTTTTTCTAAGTCATTTAAATGATTTCTCTTCAATACATCGTATCTTCACTATTCTCTCTTTAAAAATTTTGCTTCTGAAAGATAGTGCACGAATTAAAATATATAGCGGGGTAACAATTTAACTGATTTAAAGGCAGCGATGCCCGTAAGGTGCAGATAGTAAGTCAAAATTGACGTTGGATGAATGAAAGCATATGTAAATGAAAGCGCCAATTTTTACAAATACACTTACAGTGGTTCTCAACTATGAGACTTTCCTTTAAAAGTTGCGTCGAATTTAAGGTTAAATTTTTTGTGACAGTTTTTGTAAAATTTGTGTTAATTTTAACATATTGTTTTTTTACACTATATTTTTTTTATTAAATATTATTCTTATAAAATATATATTCGTTTTTTTTTTAATTTAAGTATATTCCTTTTTTTTTTGTTTACTTAGTTATCGTTTATTTTTTTAATTTTCGCCCTTCAATCCCCAACGTTATTTCTATATCGTTGCAGGCTATTATCGGCGAGGAGGGTCGCGAAGCTTACAACAGTTTAATTGAGCGCAAATCCTCACTGGGCGCAGGTCTAGGTATGGGACTCAGTCCCGCCGCCACTTTGCTAAGACATCTGGACACGAATGAATTCGAGTTGGCCACCGCAAAAACATTGCCGCGACGCTCCATGCATCTGCATGAGCGCAACGAACCTGCGCGCGGCATTACTTGTCGGGACAATGGTGATCAAATTGTGGTGCCATTGCATAATGCGCCACGACCTATGACATTGCCTACACGCGGCGCTGCTGGGCGCGCAAAAAAACTGGATGGCACCGCAGACGCGCGTTTAGTAAATGGCTGCAACGCTGGTGAGTCCACCGAGCAGACTGCAACGTCGCCGATATGCAATGGAGACGGTAATGGCGGCGGTTCTTCGCCCTGCGAAAGCCCCAGCTACTTAACGAATACATTCTATAAATTTCCCGAGAGCGTCGCTAATACAAACGCGCCAGCAACAACTGCAACAACGCCCACTGACGACACAACAAATCCCATACCGTTGCCGCCGCGCGAAGGCAAAAAACACATTAAGACCAATGCCAAGCGGCATGTACGCAAATATCCGCTCATAATACCGGTGAATGGTCTGCAGCGCACGCTAAATATGGTGACAGAAACCACACCCACGGAGGATGGCATAAAGCCAGTCACAGCGCTGGCACTTAGCAACGGCGTGATGCAGCGTGCGCTGACAGCGCCACATTCAGCGCAATCGAAGGTGACACCTAATAAGGCGGCCACATCGACGTCGTCAATGGGGACGCCAACAACAAAGCATGCGTCACAGCGTCACCCGAGCGACGGCCACACCTATCAGAACCTGGACAAATTAACGGATGCGGAGAGTGGTTCGGGCGTGAATACAACTGACTCCGCTTCGTTGCATTTTGAATCGATACTGGAAGCCGACTACGACAAGGGCAATGTGTTGCAGTCACCCGATGTGACAGATGGTTTCTACAATTTCTCTATACAAAAGGAGCACTACCACAAAGGCAAGACGGTAGATTTCGACACGAACAAAATGTGTGGTTTATACGTGAATGAAGATGAGCTGCGCAATCTGGACATCGAAAGGAATCTCAAATTGCAACAGAACTCAGTGACTGCTAAATCAACCACAACAACAACAACGTTGGCTACCGCTGCTGCTGTGAACACAAAGCCACAAGCGCCAGCAGTGAGCGCAACTGCGGTATTGACCACAACAACAAATACAACAACGGAAATAAAGCCAGCACCCTCTGTGGTCACCACAGCAACCATAACGTTAGCCAGCCCTGCTGCTGAAGATGCAACAACATCAAAAGTTGTAACAGTACCAGCCACGGAGGCTGCAGTTATCAGAGAGAAGAGCGGCAAAAGTAGTCTGACAGCCGACAACGAGCTCGCCGGCAATGCACTCTTTAAGAAAGTTCGCGAATCCGTTGACCTGGCTATGGATAAAAAGCCGTCTGGCACTACCACTGCACCCAATAGCAGTGGCTCTAGCACTACCAACAAAGTGCACAAAGTAGCGCGCGCTTCCTCCATTGCAACAACAACGACACGCCCTCAAACCGAAACGGAATACTTTGCGGCAGCCGCTGCGCGTCTAAAAGACTCGAATTCTGTGAGCTGCGAAGATCTGCTGGAGTTTTCCGACAAAAAGCCGAAAGGCTGCGAACGTGGCGTGGACTCGGATGAGGTGCGCATAATGGTGAAAGTGCTCGGCAAGAATGTGAGTTGCAATAAATTTGTTCCCAGTTTTTTTTTTTCAGCTAAATCCCCTTCAATAATATGCCACTTTGCATACTTTCAGATTGTCGAGCCAACGCGTTGCCTACAATCACTCGAATTCATCGGCTGGGATGTGCACAAGGCGATCAAAATCATTAAGCTACAAAATATTTTACCTGCAAAAGAACTGAGTCTTGCCGCCACAGTGGAGGCCTTGCAGAAATACGACTGGGATTTACACACAACGGCGCTCAAGCTGAAAACAAATAAATGCTAATTAAAGAAATTGAAACCTTAAGTTCAACCGACAAGCGCCACGAAATTAGAATTAAGCGTTCAACACAAAACAAAATATTTTTATGTTGATTTTTTTAAATTTGCGAATATTAAAAATTGATTGTGATTACTGTTTGCTCGAAAGAAAACGATTAGGCTCATATATTTGTATCCATTGTAAAAGTAATAAAATTTTATTTTAAGAAAAAAACTGCAAACTGTTAGAAGTGCCAGCAAAAGCTCATATACACAACTAAATTGTTTTTGCATATTCACATTCTTACACACGCACGTGTCATACAAAATAAAAATTAATCTTTAAGCAGCTAAAAAAGAACAAAAGAAAAACATTAAACTGTAAACAGAAGCCAGTCAGTGCCTTTTCGCATTAATGCGATGCTGAATCATCTCAGATGATGATCCGGATGTCAATGAAATTGAAAACACGAACACCAAGGAAATCTCCATATGTGCCTTGGCTTATTAGCGATTTGAATATTAAATACCTATACATACATACATATTCTTATGCCATTGTAGCACAGCTCGACTGCAAGTGTGTATCTCATGAAAAGTACTTATTGCATTCGTTGTATTGCATTTCACTAATAATATTAATAATAATAATAATGGCAACGCAACTATATTTTTACTCTTAAAATTAAGTTAACACTTTAAACTGACTACACATAAACATATATACATACATAACTGTTGAAACGAAATACAGATATTTTTAATACTTTAGTCTGTTTCTAATTCCTTAGCGCGTCTTTATACGCCTGTAGCTCTTTAAGTGTACAATTTATTACATATTTACATACAACTACATATTTTATATATATTTACCTACAAACATTCTATATACAAACAGATATTTATATACATATATAACACGGAAAACTCTATTAATATTGAATATTAATGCCAATCCAGAAAATATCGAATACTCTGCATTTGTAATACAAAATATTTTATTATACATACATACATATACACACGCACACAAACATATATAAATATAATATTTACAAATTCATATAAGCATTTAAAATATATTATATATAATATATATGCATATACATAAATATAAATAATAAAAGTGGTTTATTGGCTTATCTGTTGCCTTGCGTTATTTTCCAATTTAACTTTTGAAATTGTAATCTAACCATCTCATATATATACAATGCATAACACAAAAATAAAAATAAAATCAATAATTTAATAACTAAACTGCTGGTGTAATAATATTGGAGACTTTGGGCAAAGTGAAAACATTTTGGTGGGCATTTGTGGTGACTGTATTTTCTCCAAGAACTAGCTTGAAATATGCTGTGAAAACAAAACACGACCGCGAAGAGCTCGACTGGCCTCCTTAAATACAGCCCTTACTATTTATACTGTGTAAACTTTTATCAGAGAGAAATATCAGTTATTAATGTATGAAGAAGGCGTAGTGAGGGCTGAGAATGCTATGCTTCATAAGATAGATTTAGTAAACGGAGTATAAGTCGGATCTGTTCAAACTACAAAAGGTCTAAGCACGCAAATTCAATGAAAGCAGTCTATTTAAAATTGTAATCCAGATCTTTAGTCTTTACTAAGTGCTTTTTGACTTGAAGACAATTCGCCGATAGATACATACATCTGTCTATAAAAAAAATCTTCGTTTATTCGTGATTTGTATTTCGTCTACTCAAAACTATGACATACATTGTGACCAGAAAGTTTCCGGAAATTGTCATTTAAACTGCCCGCGCTGAATACTTTTCAGCCCTTTTTTTTTTGTTAAGTTAGTACTGTTGAAATCAGTCGGCCTCCGTATTGTTTTGCGATTTTTATAATGGAAATAAATATTGAACAAAGAATTTGCATCACATTTTTTGTGTTTCGGAACCAAATTTCGTGTGCGGCATCTTGGCGCATGTTTGAAAAGGCTTATGGTGAATCAATTCTATCGCAAACAGAAGTCGACGACGGGTACAAAGCCTTTAAGTATGATCGAGAAACCGTCGAAGACATGCCTCGTTCCCGTCGTCCTTCGACGTCTACCATTGCCGATAACATCAAAAAAGTGAAGGAAATCGCGCTCGAAAATCGTCATAGAGTGTTAGAGAGATAGCACGTAAGCTAAACATCGGCCGTGTAGCAGCTCGTTTGATTTCGACCGATAATTTGGACATGAGACGCGTCAATGCTCGGCTTGTTCCAAAAGAGCTGAATTTTTTGCAAAAAGATCGCACCGAGCTGTAGTTGTAAACGTGGAACCCGTTTCAACACGATTGAGGCCGTAAAAGAAAGTTCGCAGAGGGAATTGAAGGCGTTCCCGGACAACGTCTACAAGGTATACTTCGATGATTGGAAAAAGAGGTGGCATATGTGTATCGCTTCAGAGGGAGCATATTTTGAAGGTGACGAAATAACGATTGATGAAGATCAAAATTTTTTCGTTTTATTTATTATTATCGTATATATAATTCTTATACCTATATATTGTACTAAGGCAATAAAAATTAAAAACATTTTCACCTCTAGTTAGCCTCGTAAGCATAGGTTTGGTTGAATATGAGTCATGCTATAAAACATTATTTCAATTTCCTTTCTCCCACACACAAAATTTTAGCTGTCAAGCAACTAAAAAAATTGAATATATTTATTTTAAGAAAACATTTTCGCTTTTATTTTGATAAAAAACGTAGAATGAACAAGAAAAAACCAAAGAGTATTTATACCTCACGCTCCACGTACTCGGACCGTGCCAAGAAGGAGAACGAGTCGTTTAAGGAGGTCATAGTGCCTGTACAAGCGATTGAAACAGCGCTGTTATTGCTCAACTCACAAGAGGACGCAGTGCTTGTGACCGTGTTCAAGAACATTACCGAGTATGCGCGCAAGCAGGACGAAAATGTGGAGGAGCTCAAAAGATTGAAACTACTCGATTTGTTATTGGAAAAGAAGTTTTACATGACATCTGAAGCGGTAATGATACGACGTTTCGCCACATATTTGGCTTGTACGCTCGTTGAGAGTATGGATGTGTTGCGTGATTTGGAGCCGGCGAGAATGGTTTTTATTTTAGGAATATGTTTGGAGGGGTATTTACTGGAAGTGGATGATTTTAGTCTGGAATATCTAACGGTTATCATAAATAAGTGTCTGCAAGATCCACAAGTGGCAAATGAAATGTTACAAAAGAATGATTTCCTAGAGAAGTTCTTCATGTTGGTTTCAAGCACCGAAAATCCAGATATCTTGTGGCAATCTTTCGAGGCCATACACAAAATGTTGCTGCTGTTAGATGTCGAAAAATTGCTGGCGTTCAGCACATTGTCAACATTTCCAATCGAGCGTGTGCTTTGCGATATCTTAAACGAATTTGTAGACATACGCAGCGCGGCGCTGAAGATCGTCAAAGATCTGATTGTGGATACGAGCGATAAATCCACATTCGCCGACGTAAGTCGTTGTGTATTTACATTACAGCAATTGACGCAACTGTTCTGCGATTACGCCACCACCGAACACGGCAACGAAGCGATCGAAACATTGGCCACGGCAATGCGTACCGAGAAGATGACACAACTCTTCTTTGAGCATAATTTCTTCGATCGCATTATGCAGAATGTGGGCGCTCATTTGCTGGAGTATGCAGCGAGTGTCAAGTGTAAGGTGATTTGGATCTTTGCCGAGAATGCCAAATATGAACAGTTCTTACAACGCATCTACGAGGCTGCTGTCACGGATCTATTCTTGGACTGTCTATTGCAGGTGGATCCGTATGGCCCAGCTCCCTATGTGATAGCTGGTTTGAATCGTATGATGAAGAACCCGAATGCGGCCAATCGCATACTGCAGTTATATGAAGCGGGCGTGATAGAGCGGTTGGCATGTATGATATTAATTTAGGTTTCTTTTCGACGACTTTTTAACTTTATTTCATCTTCGCACCTCTCGTTTTAAGCCATCATTTCTCAACCTGGCATCGATATTCGCACACGTGAACAGGCTGCCGACTTGATTGGCAATTTACTGCGCTTCGCTTTCCATGACACTGCGCACCAATTATTGGCGCTGCAAATTTCTCTGATTCTGGGTCGCATATTTGGTCAACAACAACAGGATCTCTCCATTGACTTTTTACTATCGTTGCTAAATATCATCGAGCAGTTGGCACAAAATGAGGATTACCGTGAAATTTTGGGTGAAGCAACACTGCTCACCATGAATATTGCGCTCATGCTAAAGGTGCGCTCTAAATTTCCGACTATAGTCACAGTTTAAAATATTCGTTAAACTTCACTTTATATCATTTTATGCAGAACTCCTTTGCCACGGCCATACTGGTGAATAACATTTTCCGTTGTCTCTGCACGCTGGCTGATGAGGCTCAAGTACGTAACGTGCTACTCTCACACTACATCGCACAGTCCATGAAGCGCGGTCTCAAGTCTCTCTCGAATCTGGTTAAGACTTCTGTAACGAATTTCATTATGCAGACCGCACGTTTTCCCGAAATGGTGCACGAATACATCGAGGCGGGTGTTTTAGAAGTGTGAGCTCCACTCTCCGTAAAAACCTATGTTTGTTCTTTATTTACCTCCTTCCACATTTTAGACTTATTTTAAACCAGCGTCTAGCTATGTGCGTGTCCACTTGGGGACCTGCCATCGAGGCTATACTTTCCAAATGTCCAAGCCTTAAGTTTTGCATACGCAATCATCTTGGTTTTACAGATAGCACTGCTGGCAATGATTTTCTTGTCTCCAAAAGAAAGTTCGATGATTTTCGCGTTTTCCAAAACATTCTCAAAGAGGATGTTTCACCGTTACATCCCATTTTAGTTGTAAATTTCGAGCGCAAAGTATCACCACCTGATCTGATTATAGAAGTACCAATCGAATGCTTTCCGTTGGATGAGCGTCCCGATGTTGCGGGTATCTGGTGCTACTGCCGTAAACCAGGTGATAGTGAACTACCGCGCATACTGGATTTGCTAAATGAAGAACTGGAAGTGAGTACTGATTATACATACATACATATATTATAAAACTTTCATCATCTTATAACTATCAAACACTCTTCGATCTCACAGAAATATGGTTTGATGCAAAATCCTGCGAAAATGAGTCGTTGCATTGACTTCGATAATTTGGCAAAGCGTGCCAAAGTCATCGCCGAAATAGTAGAGGCTGCGCTTAGCAGTAATCTGAAACGACTGGATCTCAACACCACCGAAGAGTGCTCCAATCACACTGTCAAATGCCATTTGTATGACATAGCTCGTGCGCTACATTGTAACTTCATACCCATTGGCATTGTGCACACTGGTTGTCAGTTCGAGCGCGCAATCCTTTTCAAAGCGCTCGCCGATCAAATCGGATTGCCATGTACATTGCAACGTGCCGTCGACGGTCGTCTGCTATTCAACGAAGTGCCACTGCCAGTAGAGATTGATCATGATCCTCATTGCGATAAGAAGACTATGAAATTTATGCCTTGGCGCATGTTGCGTCCCACACATATTGTCGATTTGATGTTTAATGTGGGTGAACTGTATCCCATACAGAGTCGACAAGCGCTGCAGTATTTGAGATTGTATTAACAGATGCTGGCTTGAAAGTAATTAGCTGAGAACAAGTGATCTTATATCAATATATATGATATATTTTGAAAGATGACAAATAAAACAAACTGCTTTTTATAATTGCAGTTCAATATATATTATATATGTAAATAAGTATAGGTAGGCTATAAGTGGATCTGTGAAGCTTTCGGTTACCGACAAAAAGAGAATCGAGATTTTTAAAAAAATTTTGAGAAAAAACTGAAAGTTTTACACTAAAATCGTAGATCCCCTAATAGACACCATTATTTCTTGTTTCCAATAACTTAAGGCCAACATAAACGGTTATATACAGTTAGAAGGCCGAAAAAGTGAATTTTTCGGAAGTTTTTTAAAATTAAATTGTTTTTAAAAACAAAAATATTTATCGGAGATTTGAGACTAATCGGTTTAGCCGTTTTCGAGTAACGTTGGTCACCGACTTTGAAAACACCGTTCTGAGAAAAACGCGTTTAAAGTTTGGTCACGTAGTCGCTGCCGCTCTGGCCTTGTACTTCCAAGCACTCTGAAACGCTTTCTCAAATTTGCGTGTAACTTCGAAAATATTCACCGGAACGATATAAAATTTTCTGTGGGTCTTCTTAAATATTGTATATGTATTCACTTTTTTGATCTTTTGAAAATTTTAACTGTATGTAATCCCATAAAAGCGCATTTTTGTGTGATCGCCTACTAGAAGTCCGAAACCTTGAGTTTGGACTATTTCATTAGCCTTTACAGGCAATTAGTCTTATAAAGATTCTGGTTTACAATTCGGGAATATTTTTATTTTTATATGAGAAATCGGGTATGATAGTGACCCCATCAATACAAGTAAGATTTCTGATTTACCTAATATTAATATTTTTTCGTCATTTGCAACATTAAAGTCCTTTCAAAATTATGAAATATTTCGAATTGATTTCTTTCGAAATTCTTGCTGTTGTCAAATTTCCGTTAACTACACATCTCAAGTAATCACTAAGTTCATAGTGCGCATGTCCTTCACACATTTCCAATTCTCATGACATTCGTAACTTTGTTCATGCATCCCATACATAATGTGATTGAGCCTTTCAATGCAAGTGTAAATAATACAAAAACTAAAACGGAAGCTGTTTCAGAAAACTTTCACAGAAAATTGATAATTGAAAGTGATTAGACGATAAATTGAATTTGAAACATATCTCCAGTATCTTATGCAATCGTTTAGAGATGTCGCACAAACAGAAAATAGCAATATACATGCTTTGGCTGGCATTGGGAGCAATGCAATCAGGTAGGCTAGCAGCTGGCTGCAAGTAGAAAAAATCAATATTTAAACACATAACGGACTAACTATGGATTTTGTGGCACTTTTTCCAATACACAGCTGATGGACAATCGATTTCGAATACGGTGCATCGCACGCAAGCTGCCACGGAACGCATAAATGATCTCTCTTGCTACGAATGTGATACGATGGACCATGGCGAGGCGTGTGTGGATGTCACAACGCGCAATCTAACCAATTTCATACGCAAATGTAAGGGTGAGGAATTCATTTGTATGGTGAGTGCGGAGTAGCATAATCACAAAGCAAAGCTAAACATTAAGAGTTTTTTTTTTGGTTTTCTCACAGGTTAAGCGCTTTTCATACACAACCAGCACGGAGAATTCTACCAGCGCACCGAAAATGTGGTCGCTGGATCGGCGCTGCGCTGTGAATTGTGAGGCCGGCTGCATTGTGATCGGTGAGCGAACGAAGCTATATGCTTGCACTTCGTGCTGTGAAAAGTCGCTTTGCAATACGGGACGCGGCCGTGCCGCCAGCACTTTTCAGCGTGTGGAAACGGGCATTGGCACATGTTGGTGTGCCGTATTGGTGGCAACATTGTTGCAGCGACTATTTCTGCACAGCAATCAATACCTGTTGGAAATGTGAAACTTATAACGAAGAGCGAATAAATGGTGAAGAAGAAAAGCAGTTAGTCGCATTATGCAGTAGCTGGAAATAATGTAGAGGATATATGTTCAAATGAAGGCTCCGCAAGCAACTCTCCTATAAGCGCCAAAAACTTAAACTATTTAGCAAATGTATACTCATAACGTGGTAGTTGAAAACTTTTTCCTGTTCAAATCAGCCAAATACTTTTGTGATACCAAAAAGGATAATTAATAAAACTAATTAGAATACTAATTAAAGTTTAGTGTTGAAATTCCATACTAATGCTTGTGTGTTCTCATATTATGCCTTAAGGTAGACCACAAGTAAGTGTAGTTCCGTTAATGACTCCTACTTCGCTACTTGTTTTGATCGTTTAACTCAGCCTAGGCCATTAATAAAATTCTTAATTAAAACAACAAACGTCAAGTTTCAGGGTGTAAAGCGGCTTTAGACATCAACCCCGCCGTCTAATGCAGTCTAAATATAAATTGCCTCAAATGCTTACGAAAATGTTTTACCAAACTAAACATCAAAAACCATTCCCCTTCGCAGCGACTTGTGAGAATTTGACGCATGCATGCAATTTCCGTTGCTTTGGCCGCTGTTTGTCCCATTATATTTACAGAAACATACATGCAACCTCTTTCTCTCTCTCTCTGCATAAGCATTTCTCTGTATATTATTTATTATGCATACACATATACTGGTATTTTTGCATGTGTTTGGTGTGAGTTATTTCCGGTTTGTCGCAAATTGTGTGGACTTTTTATTAGCTACACAAAATTGTGGCAGGCGACATATTTTATAATGGGTACTGCCAATCAACTCCCCTTGTATTGAAAATCCTGCATGGGTTCACACGTGCCTGTGTATGTGTGTGTTAATATGTACCTGGTTGTGGCATGTTATGCTCCCCGAGTTTGTAAACTGAAGGGTTGACTGGTGTTGCATACATTTGGGCGCTTAAACAAAAGTTGATAGGTATGGCATGATTTTATAATTATTACGCTAAAAGTGGTACAATCTTTTACCAAAATTATCTTAAGCAATAAAAGCCAGAAAAGTTTTCACCGAAAATTCTGTGTGGCTCGAATTCTACGTTTTCTTCTTTATTATTTAAATGTCTGTTAAACCGGTAAAAGCAGAAGTTACAATTAGTAGTCCTCGACCAGCTGGTAGTACGGTGGGTGATTCGCCTCACTATGGTGCTGTGGATCTATAACTGTATTTGTGCGGGTTTTTTTCTTCAAAATTTTAGCGTTTATTTAAGAAAAGCAAATACTTTTATTCCAAGTATTGCCATCTGAAACTATAATATTTTTCCATCTTTCCGGCAATTGGTAGATCACATTCTGCTAATCTGATGTGAACCATATTACAGTAAGCGCGTTCTGCAACGATCGGAAGGAATGATAGTCAAAAGGGGCAAGCCTTGGGCTATGAGGCACTGTTTCCAAATAGTTTTTAAACAATCCTGCAATAAGAGGCGGACTATTGCCTCGTGTCTAGTCGCGAATTCCGTAATGGATGCATTTTTTACCGCCAGTCACAATTCGTTGCAAAAACGACTCCTTTTTGTACGGTTCAAACCATATTTCTGACATAAAAAACCATCTTTCAACGTCTCTTAGCTTCAATTCATATGGCATTGATTTTTTTGAAATCGTGCTCGAAAATCGTCATGCGAGTGTAAGAGAGATAGTACGTAAGCTAAACATCGGCCGTGAAGTAGCTCGTTTGATTTTGACCGACAATTTGGGCATGAGACGCGTCAATGCGCGGCTTGTTCCAAAAGAGCTAAATTTTTTGCAAAAAGATCGCACCGAGTTGTAGTTATGACCGATTTTAAGTACAAAAACTCGTTCAATATCATCGATCACCAACGTATTCACCGAATTTGGCTCCATGCGACTTTTTTTTTTTTGTTTCCAAAATTCAAGTTACCACTCCGTGGAACACGTTTCAACACGATTGAGGCCAAAAAAGAAAATTCGCAATACCCTCTGCGACCGGACAACGCCTACAAGGTATACTTCGATGATTTGAAAAAGAGGTGGCATATGTGTATCGCTTCAGAGGGAGGATTTTGAAACTTTCTGGTCACAAGGTATACCCAAGTACATCTTATTCGACTTTCGTCCTTGCTAAGTCAATTACACGAACACCTCAAGGGCTACCACAAACGATTTTTCATTTCAAATCATTCAGCGCATTTACAAGATATTTCGCTATTTGTAAATGTTTTTAACGGTCTGCTCAACATCTAATGTATTTTATTAGCAGCTTTCATATTTCAGTAATATATTCGGAAGCTTAATGTTGTTTTTAGAGACACGAAAGCTATTAGTTAGTAACGAGTTCTTTAAATTGAGATTCACTTATGTATGAACACCCGGTCTATTAAATGAAATAGAACTACTATCACTGTACTTACCAGCGTTATATTGTAAACCAACGTTATCTAACAAGTTTAAAATTACTATGCACCACACTCTTTACTTTTCGAACCACCCACACTACTGAACTTTCACATACATATTTATGTATGCATATGCGTGTGCTTGTGTGTGTTGAATTGAAATATTTCTCGTTCTGGAAAGTAAATTAGATTCGTGTTTTAAGACGTTATCGACAACATCTTGTTGGCTGGTCAAATCTATGGCCACACATTGGGTTCTTAGTACACAAATATCATATTGTTATTGTTGTAAGAGCCTTAACTTTCGCTTGAGAGTGCTCACATTCACTTTAAACTAAGCACCCGAAGAACAACAGGCAATTGAAAATGCAATAAAATACCAGAGAACACTTGCAATTGCAAAAACAATAAAAACAATGTGGGGTTGAATATGTTGTACCATATGTTGCATATATGCGGGGTCTTTGTGGCAAGTGGCATGTCTTTGTTAATCCCGAAAATTACAAACCAATTTACAATGTGCTTATATTCCATTACACCAAAACAAGTGCATGTTTAAACATACTTACACACATACAAGCGCACTCACACACGTCTACGCATATATAAATTGTAAAGACAAACAGAGGCGATTGTTTGCTTCGCTTGCCACATAAGTAATTGCAATGGCCCGGACGGTGGAAAGGAAAGCAAGCCACGGTGCACACAATGGACGGACGAGGGCGACACTATGTGGATAACAATCTAGGGCCAGAGGAGTGTCAGCTTTGTTTGAGAATACTCGCACGCACACACACACACACACATATATATATATATATATACGGGCACTGCACATATGAAGATCGCAAGAGGCCAGCGCCAAGAGTAAAGAGGGTTCAGTCGCATAAAGTGCAAGTGTTCAATTTGTGTGCATGTGTGTGTGTGTGTGTGTGTGTGTTGCCTAAAACACCCATACAAATTTGCTCATGTGGCTTAAGAAAATCTCGGCTAAGGAAATGGAGTAATATAAAAAGTAGTAACAACTGCACATAAACCGAGAACGTAAACAAAAATGGGGAAGAACTAAATGAAAAGTAAATGAAAAACAAAACAAATTCGACGAATAACAAAGGGTAGTCAGTACTCGTCGATCTCATCTCACCACTTGCCACAGAGGACAGTAAATTTTTTCGCCACACGCTAATCGCCTGCACCACCACCGCTATGCCACTGACGCCTGCCAACCCCTCACTTCGGAACTTAGGGTATGTTCAGAGAGACTCAGCTTTGGCGCGGCATGCGAGTGAAACACTGGCAGAGTGATTTCTTAGATAATAAAATTTTATTGTCTTCAACATCGTAAAATGCATGTTGATTATGAATTGTAACGGCACATTGGGCGAGTTGATGCTCGTAGATACTAGAAAAGCCAGTGAGTCAGTGCTGATGGAATATGATGTGTCATATGAGGTCGAACTCGCGTGGTTTGTCCATGACCACACAAAAGTAATTTTTTATGGCGGGCTTATACACGTCACACACACAACTATATAAGCATGTATAGGTATATGCACGTCCAATATGGTGCTTTTTTGTGATTAAGCGAAGTGTTGATGTGTCGACAATGAGGTGTTTACGATTTTTAAGGCATCTAAGTAATTACTCTCGTATCGCGCAAGTAATTGGTTAATGAAGAACAAAAAACATTTTGATGAGTTAAGTTGTGGAAAATAAAAGAAAGTATTTGACGACTGGCAACCCTGCGCTGCAAGATTGCAATCAGCCCTCATAAGATAAGTCGCATCAGCTGATTCAGTCCACGGTTTTTCGTCGGTCACTAATTGAAGCATGAGACTGTCATCACTGCAGAAAATAAAAATTTATTATCGGGTTATTATGGGTTGTTATTAAAGAATCACAAAAATATTTTGAACAGCGACGCTTTTGACAAAGACTCACCGGATATTAAACCGGAATATTTCAGGCAAAGTTTGTTATTAAAAAATATTATAGCTCTGATGAACGCAAGTTTAAAAGAAGTATGGCATAATATCGATAAAATAAAAGAAATGTGTGCTCAGCCAAAAAACCGTTTGAATTATTTAAAACAAGAGAAAACGTTGACTAGCTATAATACCCTTCACAAGTACAGAAAATTCTTTACAAGAATTTGATTTTGATCGGCTAGTTTGCAATGCAGCTATATGCTATAGTGATCCAAAATCGACGATTCCGACAAATGAGATTCTTCTTCTTAAATCGACTCAGTTCGTCATGCTGATCATTTAGATATATTTTTTATAGAGTCTTCGACGTTTCCATTTGGGTGTTAAAAACATCGTGGCAAACTTAATATACTCTGTTCAGGGTATAAAAAGCTAGATACAAAAAGAAGCTCCAGGTATGGGTGACACAGTAGTTAATGCAAAAACAAGTTTCCATCTGCGATTCAGTTCTAAAGCGGATGGTTGGACCATCTGATTGGACCATCTGAAGATAGCAATCGCTCAGGAGCGGCCGGCTTTGGCCAATAGGAGTGGAATTGTGTTGCATCAAGGCAACGTCAGATCACGCACATCGATGGTGGCTCGACAGAAGCTCCGGGACCACTGTGTCACCTTGAGTTCTTAAAATGTTGTATATTTTTAACATCTGCAGCCTACTTTTGGTTTATTATGCACAAGCTTTAATTGTTTAAGTTCTTCGCTTAAACTCACTGAAATCATTTCTTAGCATTTTGTATACTTTTTCAGCTTCCAATTTCATGAACAATTTAAATAAAATTGAAATAAAAATTCTTAGTAATGCCTTATTTCCAGGGCAAATGCCGCCTTACTTGACAGTGTTGAATGGTATGCGCTGCCACGAAACGAATCAC